CCACCTAGTCTGTGATAAGCGGCGGCGAATATGCGCCCCTCCTCGGTTGAGGCTCTCTTTTTGGCTTCGCGTGGCGTTCTCGAAGCAGCACCTCTGTCCTTACAACCGACCTCCATCGTCTTCCCCGAGGTCGATGTTTCCGCTCTCTTGGGACATGTGCAGAAGCAATTACCGGGATCTAGCAGCAATCACAACAGGGGCAAAACCAGACTTGACTCCATCCGCGAACCATTGTCAATTTTCGCCTGTACGTTGTGTTGTGGATGCACTGTGGACCCTCTGGAATGCAGATCAGACCAAAGGACAGCGTCTGACGCAAGGAGACCCTCCTACCCACTCCAATCACTGGGGCACACGCCAACGCCATGGTAAGACACGGCGTGCGCCTCAATCAGCGAGTGCTGGACTGGTGTTCCTCAAGGTTGTCTTTCCAACGGGTCTCGGCCAACGCTATCATCATCATTCCGATAACCAGGTCTGCGCTAAACACGCTCGACCATAGAACGCGCTTGTGTGGTATCCTGCAGGTGATGGGAGCTGGGGTTCTTATCACGAGGACACGCATCGAGATATTTGCGCCGAATCATGTTGCGGACCTCGCCTGTGTATACACTTTGGATAGCCGCTCTCTTGGCTTGCAGAGCGATCTTGACATGGTTTCAGACGCAGTGTACTGTAATGAATGTCATTCAAGATGCGCAGGTGGGCTTACCCTCCTAGCCTCGACCCTTCCCCGCAGCGGGCCCAACCCCATGCGGTAGCCCATCGTGTGGGCTGGCATCACCTCCAAATGAGCTGTGAAACCAGCGTTACAGGATTACTATCTAACAGATGCCCGGGAACTGGAAAACTTTGCTCCTTGTGCCTTTGACTTGGCGTGTTAGGGAACAACATGCTAGGGCGCGCCCTCGGCACAACTTACTGTCAGGCTTACTATCCCGCCCTACGCGAAGCGACCAGTTACAATTTACAGTACATAATCGTACGTTACGTGGCGTCCGCTACAATCACAATCACGGAATACCAACAACTAAGTGGCACAGCCATCCGCGGAGCCTCAGTCCTACCATCAGCCTCCGACTTGTAGGATCATGATCGATGCGATTCGTTTTCACATACCGGAGTAACTTACTTTTTGGCATCCGGAATGTCCGTCATCTCGGACAGCTCCTATCAGTGTTTGTAAGAGGGTCCCCACTTCTTGCAGGTGCGGCAAGGGGTCAGGGACGTTTTTGTACGCACACCACATCGAGCACATACGAGGCTACCCGATGCGCTGTTCTGTAGGATTTATCGAACAGTTTTGGGCACAGATCACAACGAGATTACAGTCCGGTGATCGGCTGTTTGCGAAGGATGAGTTGTGACAAGATTGATGTTCACATTCACCAGGTCTGAGGTAGCCCCCCTTCGAAATGGCGAGATGCACAACTTAGTTCTGTGCAAAACACCAGATCCGAATTGCTGAGTGGTCGCAAAGATTACTGAGTTCTGTTTAGGTGATCAACCTGCGCTGTAGAGCTGTGGTACTACCATTTTGTCAGGCTATGCTTCTCTCTAGCCCCAGCCAGGACGTCTTTCCCACGACTTCGCCCGCCGCACTTGCTCTTGTACCATCAATGCTCAAAAGCCCAGAATCTACACTATCGCACGCCGCACATTGTCCCGAACACGTACCGAATCCAGTATACGCAAACTGCATTTCCCCAGCCACTATGCACACATCGTGTTGGCTCACTCCCATCCAGTAGCCGTACATACAACACATCGCCAAACCGCAAAGCCTCGCTTCAGAACGCGTCAAAAGAGTACATAAATCATGCTACAACCGCCACAATAAGGTTGAGGAACACAACATGTTGACATGGCTGCATTATGACGCACAGGCTTGGTTCAAGGTTACCAACCGCTTCGTCTTGGTTGAACACAGAATCTGGTCCTACCTGCCTAGTTAGATGTGCCTAGTTCCATGTGCCTGGTCCTACGTGTTTGATCAGGAACGTATGCTCAGTGCTACCACACTTTGGCTTGTTATATGAAATCAATGCAAGCAGGCAAACACGCGAACAGGCAAACACGCGAACAGGCAAACACGCGAACAGGCAAACACGCGAACAGGCAAACACGCAGAAATGATACATCACATCAGTGATTGTTGTGTACAGTTGCAAGCAGTACCGCCTCACGTCAAAGCCCTGTCACAAGACAGGTGCGATGTTTCGAGTAGACGAGGCCAACTTGCTCCTTCACATCTATGTGGTACGGTGATCATGTCAGATACAACAAAATATGAATTCCTCCATGGTAACTATAATACCGAGGTTTATACACACTTGTCCTACAATCCCCGAAAAGCAGAGGAGGCAACAGTTGCTGGCGTGGCTTGATGCTCTGGAAACATCAGTCTATCCCGATCTGTGATCGGTGACTAGCAAATAATCAAGCTCTGAGATTTTTCTATGGCAGTCACTCTTTGGAAAAGATATGAACATTTCAAATCAAATGTGTACGAAAAAAGGGTATAACGAGCCTGCCAAGCCCCCGTTCATCAATACGACATACCGTACACCAGACACCTTCCCAATGCCGCTAAAGACAACAACAACAAGACAATTGATAGAACGATGCAAGCTACCACAATGGCTGCTTAACAGCGGAAAATCAAAGCAATCGGAAGACCGACCTCTTACTTTCCTGTTAGTTCACCTTCCAGATGCTGATGATTTGTTAGCCATGATCCCATTCTGCATTGTAGATCGTCCTGGATAGAAGACTTACCGACCACTCTGGAATATCACGTATCCGCTGCCACATATACCGCTCCAGTCTGTTAGCAGCCTTGGCGTATGGCGTACTCTCGTTATTGTATTTGCGGCAATTGTCAAAGATGAGCTTAGCATCTCTGATGAAGTCCTCGGGAGTAGGGTAAAGATCCTTCTCGTGCTTTTCTTCCATAGTCGCAAGGTCCATGGGCTCTTTGATGACGTCGTAGTAGTCCAACACCTCATCCTTATTGACGGGCTGTTGGAAGGGCCAGGCGTTGCTGTTGTTCTGCATATCGTTGAGGAGATGGAGAAGGGCGTTGTAGTTTGGTCCGTGGCGGGGTGCGCGGGCGAGTTCGTCCATGACAGGCGACCAACCCGAGTTCTTGATTGCAGGTATGGTTAGGGGGTCGATGGCTTTCAACTCTCCCTTTGCCCACTGTGCTGGCGGCGCGTGGACTTCGTAGCTCTTGCTGACAGCCCTTATCTTGGCGTTTGCGCACTCCTTCTGTTTCAACAACATCCTACCACTCTCCAGGTACCGTATCTTGGGCACCATGCTACACTGCATGATGGTGCCGCCCTCGTAATCCTTGATATAACCCATCCATCTTGACTTTTCCAAGGTGATTTCCTTGGTGAATCCTTGCTTCTTGAAATAACCAATAGCATAGTTGTCCGCATAGGTGAGGAAGTGCATGACCTGCGAGGTAGCCTTGACGTAGTCTTTAAGATGCGACATGAGATGGGCACCGTAGCCCTTGACCTGTTGGTCCGATGAGATAGCGCAGAAGACGATTTCAGCAAATTGACCCTTGTCGAAGGGGCGGTATGTGATGCCACTGTGCCATGATACTGTCAGTAATTGACTGTCAACGAGGAGAATGGGCGTACATACCCTACCACCTCGAGGGGATGCTTCACAATGGCTATACTCAAGTGTGTTCTGTCGTAGACAAGACGGGCAATATAGTCCTTTGGCATCTTGGGCAACTGCTTCTGGAAAATGCACTTGAGGCCTGTCAAGATAATAGTGCTCTCCCTCTCCCCATCGTTGTTGACGACTCTGAATTCGATTTCTCCGTTGCGCTCTTCTATTACCGCAGGTTTCTCGGGGAATGGGACTATGCGTTTCACGGGGGGTGCGGGCGCATCGTCGGTGGCAGAGGGGGTCGAGGGGTCCTGCTTTATGCGCTTGGGAGAGCCATTGGGAGGGTCGGCAGTCGCTTTGCGCTTGGCTTTGGGACAAGACGGATTAGCTTGCAGTCGGTGGAGCTGTGTGTCCGGAGAACATGGACGTGTTTGTGAAGGAGCTATGGGGGGAGCTATGGGTAGCGGTGAAGTTGGCGGAGAGGTGGGATAGCCCAACACGTCGCGCAACTGCGGGATGTTGTTGCGGGGATACATGCGAGATGCGCGACACCAGTGAAGGGCTGTGGACAGATAGGAGGCTGACGGGGACATGGACACTTACCTTCATCGGTTGCGCCCGCCATGTTGTGGTGTAGGGCGCTTTCAGCTATGTAGTCGCGCCTTCTCTCGGCCCTGCGCGTGGTGTTGACTGAATGTTGGGGAAGGTGCGCCTCCCACGCTAACGGCCCCACACCAATCAATGGCCGATGGCCGTTCAGTGAGGACCAAAGGCCACCAAAGCAGCTTCACGCAAGAGACACTTGATCCCGCCCAATTGCACGCCCAGAAACATGTCGAGCCCACTTGTAGACGTCTGGGAGGCTGCTGCGTCCTCACCCTTTAGCCCTGCCATTGGAAAGAACACGCAATTCACAGTCGGCTTCGTGCTGCTAGCCATATGTATGCTGGAAGCTCTGCTCTCGTGCTTGGTGGAGCTGCTATACTAACGACGCGCAGCCCTCGTCCTGACCACGCTCTTCGGCATGAGTAGGCGACACCTTCACCATCCTCCAGCGAACCTCTGCTTATCCGCAAACAGACCGATCCCTTGTCAACCTCCCCGTTCTCGGTGTTCCGGCCTCATTAGCATTCGGGTACGTGGCCTCGAAAAGACACAAGATGCGACCGACAACTGACTGACTGACTGACGGCAAACAGCTTCGGTGCAGTCTACATGATTTGCGCCGTCGGCGTCTACGTCTAGTTTCCTACTTCTCGGTCCGGCGTTAGGGGCATACTCAGTGTACAATCTATGGAATACCAATAAAAAGTTCAAGACACTACCTGCGCAATACCCTACATCCCACACACTTACAACACAGCACCATGGACCAAGACGAGCCTCCGATCCTGACGGCAGTGTCAGGCTCTGCGCGACAGCTCTACCTACTCCTTCGTTGCATCGCCTTCTCCAACAAGGCCCACGTCCAGATCAGCGACATTGGCATCAAGCTCGCTGTCGATGAGGCAAGCGTCATGGAAGGTACTTACTTCTACCTGCAACCGTCCCTTCGTCCCATCTCTAGACTGACGCGACCACAGCTTCCGCCTTCCTCGACAAGTCTCTCTTCACAACTTACACCTTCAATGCGCCTGCCCCACTACACAACTCTCAACACTCCGACAGCGATGACGAATCCGAGCCACCATCTACTACCACCCCAGCATTTCAGATATCCCTTCCCGCTCTCCTCGAGACCCTCCAGATCTTCGGTCTCACCGACCCCTCCACATCCAAGCCACCATGGGCGCGCGACGCTCCTTACCCGACCAGCACAGCCTTTACAGGAAACAACATACTAGGTGGCATGAACAACCTTTGTCGAATAAGCTACCATGGCCCTGGTGCTCCACTAGCCGTGACTCTCACCGAGGCAAGCATACGCACGCAATGCGACCTCACGACATACGAGCCCGAATATGCAGACGAGATACCATTTGATCGCCAGGCTCTTGCACTAAAAGTCATCATGCGAGGCAGCTGGCTATACGACGCAATACAAGAACTATCATCCACAAGCCCGGAGAAGCTGACCATGTACGCCAAAACAGTGCGCGGTAAACCCTTCTTCGCCCTAGCATCGTCAGGCACTCTGGGCTCTGCGCGCGTCGAGTTTAACAATCAGCCCCAGCCTTCCGCCTTCCGCACTCCTGTATCCACAAATTTCAACGTCAATAGCGAGACAGGAGATCAGGCAGCCAATTTGCTCGAAACCTTCCAGCTGAGCAATCCCCACACTGTACTTCGCTCGTCCTACAAGTTCAGCTTGATACAGAAGGCTGCGCGTGCCATGAACGTTGCGACCAAAGTCAGCATACGGGCAGACACTCAAGGCGTACTGAGTTTACAATTCATGATCGAGGTTGAGAGTGGTCTATCAAGTTCCCAGACCGCGACTGGAAATGCGACAGGTGGCAAAGTAAGCTTTGTCGACTTCCGATTCGTCCCGCTCGTGGAAGAGGATGACGAAGAAGGTGATGCTGGAGATGCTGATGAGACCATTATCCACAACGGCACCGGAAGCGGTGGGGAAAGTGGAGATCAAGACGTGCTATGATAGTATACTCCTAGCAATCACGGGCAGTAAATATGGACTTTGTCTTCAGCATGTGCCAATTCTGTTTGTTCATTATTTCTGCAACTCTGCCCTAGACTAGAACAGAGCGAAAGAAGAAGCCCACAATCGTACAATGCCTTCAGTAATGGTTTTGCTGGAATCCTTCTTTGGATAGACGCAGAGAACAGCCACCCAGCCAAAGAGGTGCTGAGCTCCAACCGCCAACATGATTCCAGACGTCAACTATCTTCCCTGAATGCACTAGGAAAACTCCACCTAAGGAAATGTGAAGCGTCATAGAGCCGATACGCCTGTGCTTTATGGTATGGAAACCAACCAGACCTCTAATCTTGCCCCAACTAAAAATTCAATTTGACTAATGTGAACCTGGATATATTGCGGACGCCCAGTCGTCCAGATCCAGGGTATCAAGTAATGCGTGCGTTATTGGGATTTCTTGCTTTCTTTCTTCTTTTTAAACTTCATATGAGTAGGCTTTGGTATCCAATCTGATGCCCGTTATCGATGTTCGTACCGAGCCGTAGTGATCGTCGCAAACGAGGGAACGAGGTGGGCGGTTCTTCTGTTACCGTCGTACTAGACTCGCGTCTCGATCGAGTGTTGTTCGTGCGCTGCACGGAGCGACTTAGAACTCGAGTTCAGCTACCACGGGCATTAGCAATGGTTTGCGAATGCTCTACCATTCGAATTCACCATTTGCCTTGTGGAACAAGTATCTTCCATGTCGTTAGTAATCTTTCTTTCATCATCTCAGTGTGAAACTCACTCCTTCTTGTTCGTCGTCAGGATACCGTCCTTGAGGGTGCACTTCCACTTGTTCTTGACACGCTGGACCTTGTCATAGGTACAGAGCATATAGTCGACCATCTCGTCATCACTGTTGTCGCCATCGCCAAGCTCGTCCTCTGAATCATCAAGGTCAGAGTTGATCGCATCATCCGGATCCTCTTCGGGCTTGACATCGTCGTCGCCGTCAAAGCGAGCAGGGCCTGGTGCACTCGACGATGCTTCTGCATCTTCGGTCTGTAACACACGCACAGCAGCCTTTCGCTTCCTGCCCTTTGGCATCGAATCGAGCGGCACCATGAGGCCACTGTCTTGACGCATAGCCATGGCATCAACACGGGCACGCATGAAGTCGTCTGCTGCCATACGCTCAACTGCATCAGCAGCTCGCGCAGCCTTCAGGGCCTCCCAGTCGGCCATGGCATCACCTGAACCATCAGTCTGAGAGGTGTACATGTGATTTTGCGGCGGCGGACGCTGCTGCGGCATCTGTTGTTGTTGCTGCTGTTGCTGTTGCGGCGGGCGCTGATGCTGTTGTTGTGGCGCCATCATCCGCTGCTGCTGATTTTGCATTGGCATCTGCGGCAAATGTCCTTGTTGAGCAAGGTTGGGAAAGTTTTGCTGCTGCACATGGCCCTGTTGCTGAATGCGTTGCTGGACGAGCGCAGCCGCGCGCTGGTTTGCTAGCTGTGTGTTTTGATCATAGCTGCCACCATAACCATTGTTCGCAGTCTGGGCTGGAGGGCAGTTAGCAACAGGTGGCTGATATCCTCCTTCTGTCTTGACGGGCACATTCGGGAAGTTTAGGCCATCCTGAGGACCGGAAACGGGAGGCATATCATTGTCAACCTTGACGTTGGATGGCACCGTAGGCGGCTGACGAACAGGCTCAGGGGCGGGATCCCAAGGGAAGTGAGCAATCTTGAGAGCAGATAGCCTCTCTTGCCAGCCCTAGTGATGGTCAGTATATGTTCTGCATGGCTGTGCAGTGAAACATGATATAGAAACAGCCGTCACATGACAAGCTATACCGCGTTGGGAAGTGATGCGTTGGTCTTGGCGGGTGGGGGAGCTGTGCAGGGGCTATAAGAAGGTGACCCAAATACTGAGGCGCCCCCGAGCTGCCAGACCGACCGGCAACTCCGCCCCGCTTTCAGCCGCCCAACATCCCAGGCCAGGCGACCATGGCGCGATCGCCACAGCCAGCGAAAACGATGCGAGAGATTGTTTGACAAGGAATGCGAGAAACACAACAAGTGGTGTGGTGCAGGGGCCGCACTGGTGACGCGACAGAGGAAAGAAAGGCGCGACGCCTGAGATGGAGAGGCCAGGTTGCAACATACCTGCTTCATCTCGTCGAGCGTCGTGTGGTCGACGCCAGACTCCTCGAAATCATTCTGCGACGTCTGGATCACCTTCTCGATGATCTGCTGGTAGACGCCACCCTGGTTGTCGCTGTTAGCAAACCTGCCTTCACCCTTCCACCGCTCACATGCGCGCCCAGGGGATACTAACCACGACCGAGTTCGACATGGTGGTGACTGCTTGCTATGGTCTCAGCTATCTAGTATACGATGTGGGCTCTGTGAAGGCTGCACAAAGGCTTGCGATGGTCGCTCGCGTGCAGAGGCTTGAGGAATAGGCAGGCAAGCCAGGCAGGCGACGTCAGCGCTTGAGGCTGCAAATAGGTGCGCGCGCTTGAGGAAGCTTCTGCGCTGTCAAGGAACTTCTACGGATATCGCTAGCCCAGACGGAAGGCTTTGTACGACGTGTTCGGGTGCCCTCAGCGTTCGTGGTCGTGGATGTATGAGTGATAGTGAGCGGCGTCCCGGCAATCATTGAGGGCGCCGATTCCTTAGCGCCTAACGCTATACTAGCGCGACACGTGACACTGATCATCACCAGCTGAACAATGCCTTTGCGGCAACATGATGGACCGTTCCCGTACACTCATGTCATAGCAAATGATTGTGCGCAATATGCATGCGACTTGATAATTCTATTGATACACATGTCGTCAAATCATCAGATGGTCCTGGGCTAGGCCGCAGAAATTGCATCAAAAGCAAAACTCGTGCTGCTTCTTCTAGTAGTGCCTGGATATCTCGGTACATTCAACACCGTACTTGCAACGATTGGCTCAATGCTCATGCACCAGAGACTTTCGCACCGCTACATCTACATCTTTACGCCTGTATCCCGGCGACCGCCCCAGGCAAACGCCACGTACAATGATCTCTGTCACTTTGTTAGCCAACCTTGGGACTATTCGTCTCTCGTCACCGTTTGCACTCACCATCGATAAGTCTTGAGACGTCGACCCAGCCAGTTTTTTTCCGCTTCTGCCTCACCACTGGCAAAGCCGCAGTCACGTCGTTCATGATATCCATGCCCAAATCCATGTCGCCTATGTGAAAGCCATCGGAATGTGAGAAATCATAATTGTATCCAGGGGCGAGATCTAATCCTAGTGTTTGATCGTAAGATATATCGTAATTGATGAGCCTGGGAAAGTCGCTAGTGGGACCGAATGACATGTCTAGACCGAAGGCTCCATTGTCTGCCATGTTGTAAGGCTGACCAGGTCGATTTGTCGAAGTGTTTGACGAAGTTGTCGCTGGGTTGGTAGAACTATTGTTGAGACGAGGCAGCTCCGTTGGTATGCTTGGACGTGGTCGTAGAGCACTGCTATGAACTTCGGGCGCTCCTTCGTCCTCTTCGTCGATAACACATTCCGCGAATGAACTTCTCGGATCGAGCTTGCACGCGTATTTGTCCTCCAAATACCCTTGCACATCATGGCAGTCGAACCACTCTCCCTCAAATCCACTGAGATCCAAATCACCCAACTCCTCACTCCTGCCGTCTTCTGTGTTCTCTATTATATATACTCTCTTCTCTGGTGGTCCAATTTGCCGCATGTTCCATCCATTCCTAACATGTGTTATATTGCCCGCAGCATCACGTCGCGGATAGTGAGTTCCTGCGCCGCCGAGATGGATGAAAGGCGATTCCCACCAGTCCAGGTCTTCATCAATAGAACGGGACATAATAGTCCGGAAGCGGCTCCGTATTTGATCGAGAGTTTGGTGGGGTAGAGAGAGTTTGAAGACGCGATCTATCGCCTAACTGCAATGGTTAGTCTCTTGTCCATCATTGAAGTAGGGCAGTGAGGTTAAAAGGCAATTCGTACATCGGCTAATTGGGTACGTACCGTAGGACGATCGTTGGCACGACTCAGCAAATGGAACCCCGTCTCAAGCGCCGCCCTGGATAGTCTCCTAGCAAATGTAGTCTCTTCGAAACTATATGTTGTCACCGGTCGAAGTGTCTTCGTCGGGACTTTCGTTGTAGGAGGTGTTGGAAGCCTGTTTATTGGTGGAGTAACGTCAGGCGTTGGTATACGAACGGAGTAGATGTGCGGGTTTGATGATGCGAAGGGTGCTTGCTGTTGGCTGAGTAAGTCTACAAGACCAAAGGGAAGCTGTACTGATTGCGACGAGGTATGCGAAGACGGTGGATCTCCTGGGGGCTGTGAAGATCGGCTCGATTGATCGAAAACAGCGCCAACTGGAAACGCACGGCATGGCACTAGATCGTTCCTGCTGGTGTCTACAGTACCATAGGCAGCACTGATATGTGCGAGGTAGCTATCCGGGGTTGATAGTTGTTGTTGTTGTTGTTGTTGTTGTTGTTGCTGTTGTTGCGGGCGCTTCTGAACATCTGGCTTCGAGTTTGTGGAATAGCCCCATCCAACGTGTTGAGTTTCGACTTCCGGCTCGACTGGTTTTTGTGCACCACTGCGTTCAGCAGCTCCCTGATCCCCTTGTTCGCCATCTTCGTCTCCCTCATACTGACCCTCGCTGGCTGTCTTAACCAAGTTCGCAAATGTCTCCGTTACCAGCTTGAACTCCTGAGCCAATGTCGGATTCAGTTGCAACAAACCTGACTTCACGGTTGACTCGTTCAGCTTTAGAAAAGTCTTGTTCATCTGCTCGATGATCGAATGAAGCTGTGCGCTTTGATTCTTCAGAGATGAGATCGTTGTCTCTTTCCGTTGGCGATAAGCTCGCTGAGCAAGACGGATTTGAGTTCTTCGTCTCTGCCATATCTGTCAGCATAGTCGACGCGTGGTCTGAGACGTTGAGGTGTGAAATGGTTCAGGCTGAATGGTGATGAAATGGGCACTGCGGGTGGAGCGGGGTCGTCCATAGGGGGCGACGAAGGTCGATCTCGAAGCGGGTCGAGCTTGAAGAATGGCACTGCCTCACAGCCTTTTCGATGAGAGCAGGTGTACATTTCTCATCTTCCATCCTGCTGTAGGATTGAGCAATAACGAATCAGGGCAAAAAGAAAAGAAAAGACACGACGTCTCCACTCACATCTGCGGCTGTGGCATCCTGCGTATCTACCCGGGGCCGTCCCCTAGCCTTCTTTCCTCCAGCACCACCGTCATCGCCACTATTACTCCTGCGCGAGCGCTTTCGCGATGTTTGCGGTTGTTCTTCCGACTCTGAGCTCGTCATGATTTTGGTCTTCGCTTCTGATACTGCAGAACGAACAAAGTAAGAACGCCGGAGGTATGTCTCCGAAGGGGTTCGGTGGAACCTGTAGCGAAACTTGTGAAGGAATGCAGAGCGAACCGGAGTCGGAATCTGCGGGTTGCTGTCACTCCGATCCGACTCTTGAAACACCGCTATCGTTCACTTGTACAAATAGCAGAAATCCTCTGTCCAGATTCTCGATGAAGTAATCGCTTTCGCGTAAAAGTAGCGGGAAGACGTTGTGCATATGTAAATAAGCGATCGCCGGGTCGTATGGCGTCCAGAACTAATCCAACGTGACGCAAGCCAGCCAGCATGGAAAAGCAAAAGACTGTCCGGTGCCCGACTCAGCGTACGGCCGCTTCAGCTCATAAGGTTCGAGATCGATCAAGGGTCCGCTGTTACACAGGGCTAATGCGCGTCTCCGCACAAGCTGCGGCTAGTTCATGTAGGACGAGAGGTGCGGACGATTGCATGACCGTGGGTTCATGGCCGAGTCGGTTCTCCGCTCATACTGGTACCATCTACATTGCTATTCCTGCGTACAGATCTACCATTCCTAGACTGTTCTTAGAAACCATAATCGACAAGACGTTTGAGACCGAGGTTGTCAGATCTTGGTGGACAGTTGTAGCCAATTGTTTCGCGGTGTGTCTTGTCGCTCTGGTGCAGGTCGGGACGATTTGCAACATGATTACTGAACGCTAAATTTCCGTTTCGGCAACTACCGACTAGCCTGACCAATCACGTGAAGCCAAGAATCCTATCAGTCAATCCACAGTGCTTGCAGCGGTCAGTTCATCATGCGCTTCATTATCAGCTTCATGATGACGAGGCTAGTTTTGCGAAAGACAAACAATCTTAAATTACTTCAATCAGACGTGCAAAAATCTTATTGATGCTTGACACTATCCCGATTCACAGTCTGAAAGGTGCTGGTCTCTTTCGTTCTGCTGTCCAGACAATACAAGCAATACGGATCCCGGGTTATCTAGGTGGCCGACATCAATTGCGTTGCTACTATGCACCCCAACCTACAAGGCGAGCACACTGTGCCTGCCACTTGCATCTGTCTAAAGTCAGCTATTTAAGCGTCTGGTCAAGAACGTTCAAAGCTTGTGTATGATCACATAATCTAGCACCGCAACTACGCTGACGCCTGACCCGGTCCATCTCTAAGCTTAGGAAGAACACCCAACCAGTTGTTTGACGGTGCATCTTCACCCTGTCCTGTAGCGGCTGATGTCTCTGTCTCTCCAGGTTTCCCACAAGTGTTTTTCTCAGCATCATCATATCTATCTCGCACCTCATGCCCCGTTTGGTAGCTGGATCCATCCTTTGCATCTCCAACGTCTTTACTTCGCAGTGTACTCTCGTTGGTCTCGGCATCGCTCCGGGCAGACGATGCAGATCTGTGAGCATCGGCAGCTGCATGATCACTATTCTGAATCTCAGTTGGTACGGTAGCTCGGTCTTCATCTATGCGCTTCTCTCCCCTATCTTCTGCGTTGATCCATGTTTGCAGATCTTCATCAGAAGGCTTGCAGAAACACCACATTTCATCAGAAGTACTGTATCCAGCGCCCATGCCACCTTGGAAGTTGCGCCGAAACTTCCTCTGAAGGCCAGCGGCCAATCGTTTCCTGAACTCATTGTCTACCCGTAGACGAGCGGCTATCCATTGGTCGGTCGGTCGGTGCTCGTTGGGGATGTCTTCCATGAGAGGCGTTTCCAAGATCTTCTCATCTGTCATGCACCTACTAATGATAGACTTCCCGCCTCCAGAATCTGGTGCTACTAGCCTAAGGAACTCGAGACTTGTACTGACATTGAGGTCAATAGCCCTTTGCGGATGAACAGTGGCCTTCAGGAACAACGATGAAATATGCTTGTACAAGATCGAGAAGTCGCTTTGGTTGATGTGCACGGATCCTCGGACAGTGAAGAGATACGCAGGGGCGCCATGCTCGCTGGCCTCTCTCATCAGAGACATGGCTGCATCCCAGTTTTTCTGCCAATACATGAACGCCTCGCTGGCGATACCCAGTAAGGGGAGGTGTATCCGATGTTTTGGGTCGTCCACTGGAGGCTTTACAGGCGCACTGCAAGTATGTTAGTTTTGATGTAATAAGGGCAGAGACGTACTTACCCCCAAATATCATAGATGATTCCAGCCTGGACGTTAGTAAATCGCTCTGTATGCCTGAGCACCTCTACTACAGTCGCTGCTCCGAAACTATGGCCAGCGACGGTCATCTTATCTACGTGAAACCGATCTTTCCATTGTGCCCAATCAATTCCACTCAGGCCTCTTGAAGAGCCGCCAACGTAACCCTCCCCACGTAGATTCTGCTGTGCGATCTTCTCTCCATCACCAGCACATATGATCTTGAGTACACGGTATGCTTCCTCGAGTTCACAGAGACGCATTTCGATCTGCGCGCTCCGAAGTTCGCCGTCTACGCCGTGCTCATTGTTCGGTGCAGTATCCATTGGGTTATCTTTGGGAAAGATGTAGTCCTGCGATCGTCAGCCTATCACGCCCCGTATTACCCACCGCCAAAAAGAACCCAGTGGAGACGTACGACATGGTGGTAGCCTCGCGCGATCTCCTCCTCAGTGCGGTCCGGGTGCCGAAACTTGTCGAAACTTTCATCATCTTCTTCGTCCCCGTCGCAAGCACTATGTGTTGCTTTGCCTCCTCCCTGCGGGTCCTTTCTCCGCTTCCCTCGCCTCTTGTGGTTGACGAAAGTACGTGGCCCACTCCCATCTCTATGCTCCACCGCGCAAACGACGAAGCCATAGCTTGCAAACTCTGAGCACAAACTACTGTATGCAGTTCTTGAGCCCCCAAGACCATGACTGAATATCAGCAGAGGGAATTTGGGCTCCTTGCCCATGCCCTCGGGCGGACTGCCCTGCTGGTTCTTGATCTTATAACCGTTCTTCTTCATGTTGCCTTCTGGAGGCCAATGAGTTGCAGGAGGAGCATTTCTGTAGCCACGTAGCTTCGTGAGCATGGTGGTCGCGCCAAAAATACCAATGCTTATAGAGCTTGGTATGCCAGCAAAACGCGCATAACCCTTCGCTGTTTCCATGCGTGGTCTTGGAAGCCATGTCTCTCGACTCCATTTCTTCTCTCCTCCTGGAGCGTTCCCGTTTCCACTTCCAAACGAGGAGGGGTAGTATAGTGTGAATAGAACAGTTTCTAACTGCAGGAGGTGCCGGCCCTTGCGCTTTATGTTCGAGATCGGTCGGGGATTCTCAACAGGGACTTCTATCTCCATACTTCCTATGGAGTACGGTCCTGAAGTAGGAGAGAGGGTGGAGTTAGGGTATGGGAGATGGTCGCGTAGCGACGCCGGGGGTCGTGTGCGTGGTTTCTTCGCGTTGGGCACCTTGTTTGAAGATGAGGGATTGAGGACGCTGCGTCGACGAGCGCCATGTTCTATGCCGGTGATCCGCGTCGTTTGACGCTCGAGATACGACATAATGAAGGATGAGCGACGGTATGAACGGCTATGTAGGGTATCTTGAAAGGAAAAAGGAAACGTGCACAACAAAACACGTCAGTGCAAAAGAGCCACGCTCAGGGCGCGACTGGCGATGGAGCGATCGCGAAGACCCACAGTCGAATATGCTTCGCCATGCTTAGCAGCGGCTATAAGACGCGCATGAGACGCTTGCTTCGCTGGCGAGACTGTGCGGATGCGCTCGGGAACCTAGTGTTGGTGTTTTGGAATCAAAGAACTTGACGTCATATGGCTCGGTTGCCCTTTCGAGCGAGCATGTGGGGCTAAATAGATTTTGCCCGCAGCCGAGCCATGCACTGCCCCTTGACCCAAGTCCGGTTCAACGTCCGCTCAAATCCCAATGGCAATGACTGAAGAAAAGCGGGACTCTGAAACCTACGCGATTCTGATATAGTACTCAATTAAATTTTACCATGTGCAGTAGGAAACCATGTCAAATTGAGCTACTCATTAGTATGAGAAGTATCGTACGTCTCCAAACCTCCACGCCAACGCAAGATACTGTAAACCCGGTAAGAAGCATATGTCCGGCCCAACATTTCAAGAGGTCGGACCTAGTCGCTTTGGCTCAGGCTACGAGGTCTTTGACTTGTCCACCATCGGGTACTGGTCTGCACCGAAAGTAGCGTTGAGTGACACCTGTCCTGAGATCTTTCCGTTCTCCATGCGGATCCAAGTATCCACGACCCTCGCGTCCAACATGTCCTCTTTGACAACGATCTGGCGCGCACCGCGTGTCCAATCGGTGTAGCCGCCGTAACCCGAGTGGCGATTGAAGCAGATATTTAGCCCATTACCATTCTTAGGAGATGTATCCGGGAGATCTTTGGCCCATTTCATGCACCAGTCTACACCGTGGTCGTGACCAGAGAAGACGGTCATGAGTCCCTCAGTCTCGACGAGCGCCGTCATAAACGGGATGTCGGCGCCGCCGTACTTACAGTTGTTTCCAGTGCTGTCGCAAACGTCGCCCTGGTGTCCTATGTTCTCTTCATTAAGGCCTGGACTTGTCTTCCGGTCACGACTGTTCTGTTGAAAAGATCTCGTTGCACGAATCGGAATATGCACAAAGGCCATACTGGGGATCGCGCGGCCGTATTGCTGGGTAAACGCGTTGTTGGTATTGCGAAACCATTCGACGACCTGCAAGAGTCAGTACAGCGCATAACATGGTAGAAAGCGTCACATACCTTTTTGTCAACCCAGTTGGGAACGCCGATATCGTCACCAGTTGGTTGATACTTGCGACCGCCCTTGCTATCGAAAAACCACATGAGCATCTTCAGCTCAGAAGCATTATCGGAGCTGTAAACAGGAACGAAGTAGTTGCTCCAGCCGACTTGATCGACTTCGCCAGCCACCGACTGCGTTGTGAAAGACAGCTTCTTGCCGTTCCGACCCTTGACGTCCCACCACATGTGTTCGGACATGTCTCTAGTACTGCAGGTCTTGGATGCATCATGGTTACCGAATGTCGCACCGAAAGGCAGGTTGCGGCTGACAAGTGGAGCCATGATCTGGTCGATCAGCGTGTTTGCGTTGCCAGGACCAACCCATTCGCAAGACACCAGGTCGCCATTGAGAACGACAAAATCAGGCTGCTCATTGTCAAGAACGGAGTTGATGACACCAATCGTCTTGAGGTCTGCATAGGGACGACCGCGCAGGGAATCAGCTACAAATGTTAGTGAGATCTGGTAACAGATGGATAATCGACGTGATAGCTTACGCTCACCAAAGTGAAGATCACTGAAGACGGTAACCGATAGCTTTCTGTCTGAGGCGAATTGAAAGCCTGCGTATTGAGGGTTGTTTCTGCTCTGAATAACGGAAGCGTTGACAGTGATAGTCAGCAGTGACAGTAGCCATATATATCTCGTAGCCGACATGATGTATCAAGCAGGTCGTTGTAAGTTGATAGAGCCAATGCTAGCAGGCAGAAGAGTTGATCACTTAGCAAAATCAGTTTCAACGAGAGTGGATAGTGTATAAAAGGAAGTGAATTGGGGGAAAGACTATGCCCTTGAAAACGATGAGAGGTGAGAATCGGGAAGGGACTCGTGACCTGATCGGGTGGAAAGTGAAGACCGAGCCGAGTCGCATTATAGGAAAGTGCCAGTACATAACATCTGTTGCTTTACTGTTTGTACGTGTTAACCCCATATGATTGTGAATGCTGTGCCAAGGCATCATTGGATCGAATGACAGAACGACCTGGGCTACAAGAGGGTACGATTAGCACTGAGAAGTTGCGACTCGCTCCATTGTCAGCCAGGAATTATGCGCGTCACCGCAGTCTCTTCGAGTCTTGTTGTCACTCAAGATTCAGAACCAATTAAACAAAGACCAGAACACTCAAACACTGAGCCTACTGCAGGAAATGGTCAAAATGAGGACAGTCCTCCACATAATTCTGTTCTTTTGCGTTGAACAGCCAACACCCCAGCGATGCCTATGAGCAGGACATGGAGTGCATGGGTAGAGTTGGTTAAGCTAACGGTAGCCCGGCTTGTGTAGTGCTCGGGGGTCCGCAAGTCGATCGCGCTAGCCAAGACTTCCCCACCAAAATTTCCAGACGCGCGAAGCCGGCTATCACTCCTTTACCTCACCTGCAATGAACGCCGAGGAATATCTGCGCAAGCAGGGCTGGCAGGGCTCAGGTCACTCTCTCGATCAATCTGGCCGCGGCATCAAAAAGCCGCTTCTCATCGCGCACAAGAATGATCAGCTAGGACTCGGCAAGAAGAAGGCCGCGCACACGACAGACGACCAGTGGTGGTTGCGCGCATTCGACCAGAGCCTGCAAAGCATCGGCACGGGAAAAGATGTATGCGATCATGTCTTTTCGCACTTGCGCCACCAAGCGACTGACCTTCCACATAGAGCACACTCGACCAGATTCGAACGCAGGGCATCTATCGCGGCGGTCTATATGGCTTCTTCGTAAAGGGCGAGATGATTGGGGGTACCATCGGAGATACCTCAGCGACTACTACAGACGCATCGAACCCTGCTTCTGGCACAAGCACTCCCCCTACATCCGCATCCGATACCGAAACACCTGTGCCTACGAAGGAGAAATCTGACAAGAAGAATAAGCGCAAGCGAGATGAAGCAGAGGCGCCATCCGGCAAGAAGAGCAAGAAGGCCAAGGGTCGTACTGCAGAACTAAAGGATGATCAGAGAGCAGTGGCAAAGAAGCTCGCGAAGCTGAAACCCGCCGAGAAGACCGATTACGAGACACGCGCCAAGGCAAAGGGTCAGACGCTCGAGCAATACGTCCTTCGTCGCATCCAGAAAAAGACCGAGACGCGCACATCCAAGCATATGGAAGGAGTCAAAGAGAAGAAACAAAAGTCCGATGAAAGGGAGAAGAAGAGCAAAAAAGCAGACAAGGCGCAATAGCAGTGATCAAGACATGACAGCTGGAGAGTACAGTAACCGGCCGGGTCAATAATCAACCCGCCATGCGTTGCGTGTATACCTCTCAATTTGGGTCCTGCTCGGAAGTGCATGCAGAACGTCTCAGGGGCCATTGCTATAACAAGAACAACAGCTCGAGAAGCTGGATGCTGTGAATATTCCCTTGAACATCGAGACAACATCTTAGGGGTTGCAGGAAAGGGGAGAAAACGTCGATGACGGCTTCGGACAGCCCTACAAGGGCTTAAGGTAGAGACCGTAAGGATGACTCCAGCGCGGAGAACACGGTTGAGACGCGAGATGGAATAGATTTGAGAAGTTTAGATACCCGTTATATAAGCGAGACCCTGTATAACACGGATCGCACGATGTTGTAGAGAGCGAGTACTATCCGATTACTCAAACCACCTTGATCAACAATACGCAAATCTTACAATCACACTCCCTCCCACCTACAGTATCATACATTCCCATCATCAAAATCATCAAAATCATCATCTAACCAAAAAGAAACAAAGAAAGAGAAAAATTCAGGCGTCGTCAACGAGGGGCAACGCCAAAAAAACACTACCTTCCCTGATCAATCTCACCCTGTCTTCCCACTCAGAATCCAGGGCCTCTTCTCCCAGAACTCATCCTTGATGATATCAACATGTTCCATGAGCACAGTCGCCTTGCTCCTCTTTTTTCTGTCTTTATCTTTTTGCGTACGACTCATGTGTACCGGACGACCTTCATTGGTTTGTTGGGGATTAGCAACTACGGCCCGACTTCCAGTTTCCGGCTGTGGTTGTTTGCCTTTGTCCGGTTTAGCCTTGGAGGAGTTTGACTTTGAGGGGTTGGGTCGGTTGACATCTTTGTTGCGGCCGGTAGACGACCGGCTACTGGGCAAGGGATGGGAAGTGGCGTAATTTTGGGAACCTGAACCTGTTGATGTTGTCGAGGATAGAAGGGTGTGGATGTCTGGGCTCGAATGGGGGTATTGCAATGATGCTGATGTAGGTGCAGAATGCGTTGGAGTAGAAACAGCGTGGAGTTCCGCGATGCCCGGGTGGGAGACATTTCCCTGGCCCCAGACGTGCCCGCCTCTGTTGTCTGAATCGCTAGTTCTTCGTTGGGGCGACTCAGTCCCATTGGTGGATGCAATGGCATACCTGTTCCACTCTTGCTGTGGACTATTTCCCTTGACCTCTTCTCGCGTACGCATCTCTTCCTCTGCGCTCATTGGGGGACTTGGTAGAGCCTTGTTCTTTTGTATTGGTGGGCTGACTCTACGGGGTGGTGTGGATGTTGTGTCTCGAGGGCTGACTACACTCTCTTTCTCATCGAAACTATCTCGTGTAGCTTTGAGTGTCGTGGTGGATCGATGGACCGGTAAGGATAGCTTGCGCGGCTTACTGTTGGCAGGAATGCTCGATATACGCAATGGTATAGATGGCGGTTTCGGTGGTGCAGGTGTACTGGATGATGCAAAATATGTCGGCAGCGAAGGCTGGCTTGGTGATCGTTGTTTGAGCCGAGAGGGTTTCACTTGGGGTGGGTATGACGTCGTCAAAGAAGCTGATGCAGAGTGCGAGAATCCATGGCTGACCGCTGCATTCGTATGATGACGGTAGCCAGCTATGGGAAAATCTGCGGGGAAGTCGCCCTGTGGTGTCACCGGTGAGAAATTGGTGCGTGTTGTTGGATTTGGTTGATTCAATGACAGAGGTGGCTTGCTGCTTGGCTTTAATATTGGCGGAGATAGAGGCAAAGGCGTCAATGAGGGTAGGTGCTGTTTGCCATTCGATGAGGGGTTGTTATTCCATGTTGCAGTTGATGGCGGAGAAAGCGGCATGGAAGAACCTGGCATAGGGCTATTGTTCTCAGATCTGATCGGGTTGGACCTAAGCGGGTTAGGAAATGCTGATCTCGAGATGTTAGGTGGTGAAGGTGGTGGCGACGGAGTCGATGTTGTTGACAAGAAGGTCGGACGCGAACAAAGCTCTGGAGACTCCATCAATTCCTTTTGATCTGGAAGATATGGGATGGCCCTCTCGATAGACTGGGATGCCCGGTGACTGGATGCTCGCTTTGGTGTTGGCTGAGCTATAGGTGGCGTGGGAAAGTCTGCCAGCACAGGTGACGCTATCTGCTCGACCGGCGGTGGAGTAGGGAAGAAGTCTCGGTATAGCACCGTGCCCTTCTTGAAGCACTCCGGTTCGTTGTTGTAGTTGATTCCAAACTCCTTGAACAGAATCTCGTTCTTATCGGACGAAATTGTTCCCTTGAGTCTTTGTTCTGCTTCTCGAGCCCCCATGCCACCCTGCTGAAGCAGAGTCCAGAAAGTAGTGTTATAAAGATTGTTGATGTGGCCTGGGCGATAGTCAAATTCAATTCACGATTAATAGAAAGATAAAAAAGAGGGTCATAGGAGATGCCTTTAGCCAGAATGCTGACAACAGAGGGTGGGAAGGGGCCGACGTATCACATTACTTACAGTCAACTTGACGCCAGCTCATGTAATCCCGAAGATTAGAATCGCTTGGGTAGCACACTGCACGTCCATCGAACGAGGGCAAAGGAGGTGTAAGCGGCTTATCCGGAAAGTATGTAGACCAGGACCACACATAGTACGAGGTAAATGTCGACACAATTGTCGTAGTGAGCTTGCTAAATCCGGGTCAGTTCTGGTCAAATCGCCAGCGGGAATCAACTAGTTGCACCAATGGGAGTAACTCCGTACCTTGCTCGTCGTTCGAATAAGGCACAGTCCTTGTGAAAGACGAAACTGCGACCCACGTCAGCTAAGCAGTCCCGAAACATGCTACCCCACCCATGTATATACCATGCCGGGAACCTTGGGCGGCCTCGATGGAACATCAATTTACTTCAAACATAACATGCTCGAATGGAAAAAATGCAACGTACCTGTATTCGTCGCTGTTACCAAATGCAAGGACAAGGTCAGGCAACTCTTTCATGACAGCCTGGGCTGCAGCGTTCATGACGTCGAGCCCATTCTTATCGTTCGGCTTGACGAACTCATACTTTGACGTAAACCTATTCGCGTATTGTTAGCGAAAACCGCTTGATGGTGTATAATAGCCGAAAATGTTGGCCTAGGGCAGCAATATCCGTTCATGCAACATGGTTACGGGTACCTGCATATGCCGGACCGAGAAAGTTTGCCAACTCAAGTGAAGGAGAGAAAATCGGTGAACGTACTTGGAAAAGCCACGTCCATCTATCCGTACCACAATCCAGGTATTGGCCAGTAAAGCATCGGGCTGCTCAAACTGGCGCACATATTCGTATCTGGAGTCCGTTAGTTGAGGTCCGGCGAGCTCGTGCAGGCGGTCAGCTCTCAACGATGGCGGCCGCTTCCCCACCCAGTCGAGAAGCTATCGAATACTTACTTGCTGTTCGCCATTTATGACCTCTCTGCCGATAACAACCTTTCTTCCCCGGCACAGACGCACTGCATAGTCTTTGGGCGATGAATGACAAGAAGATGACGGACGTCAGCGTGAGCTTGTTTGCTGCTTGGGCGTGCGCAAGTGTGGTTTTGAAGGCTGAGTGACTCCGGGGCTAAGGCTACCACAGCAAAAGACGGTGTTTCAGGTCCGCAGATGTAATGCAGCTACGGCGACAAGCTTCTCCAGCCGATTGAAGCGCGGATATCGAGCGCGCAATTGGCATCCTCCGAGTTGACTATCATGCATTGTGTGGGCACGCCCGCGGGTCGCAGAAAGTCTTTCAGCATGGGATGAGTCCCCACACTCCGTTCCGGACGATCGCTGGCGCTTGGACCACAGCATTATCTCTTTGGAAAAGCCCGACACGCATCAACTTGCGCATCGCATTTCCGTATGCAAAGAGAAGGGCTTCTTGGAAAGGAGAGCCCGACGCGTACTCATGCCAAGCAGCTTTAGCAGTTTCCCCTCATCGCACAGACGAGCGCATGAAGCACTCGGACATGCGGTATCTACCGACCCATACGTAGTTGCCGGAGCGGCGCGAGCGGTGAAGGTGTTCAGTCGCATACCCGTGCTTCTAACAAATAACCGGCACGTGTGGCAGTTGCTGCTGGCTTGATGCTGGGAGAGAAGCCGTAGCCTGACGCATACGGGACACCGGCCTCTTAGGGATGGATACTAAGGCCAGCCACAACACCATCTTCAAACAACAACACCTTGCAATGTACAGGGCCAGCGCCGACATGTATCCGGAAAGTCGCTATCCAGCGCGTTTGTCGCCGCAAAATTCGTCTCAACTTCCGAGGTTAGCGTTATCATCTTCTTCTACTCTTTTGGAGAGCTTACTTGACATCGACTGAGATATGATGGTAGAAAATATTTCTAGAAAGCTATAGCGGTCAAGTCTGCAGGAACCATACTGTATCTCACAATACATTCATCCGGACAAAAATTCTGCAAGCACACCGTCCGTTATGACTGCATATATTCCTCATGGCTGCAATTACTCATCTGATGGGCAACAGCCTCTCCCAGCCTAACGAACTTGCATGACAATTTAATTATTGAAAGCAACAGGCATCGCCACAAACGAAGGGCCGGACCGGCGCCACACGAGCGTATCATAGCGTCGATGCCGGCCTAGATGTACTTTCCCACTGTTTATTTCAGTTCTCTAAGTTCCCCACATCTCAACTTTAGACCGTCGGTCAGTCTCGTATGACATCGTGCATCCGATCTGAGCGACGCTATGCGAGTAAGATTCATCATGCACCTTGGGGTAGAAAGCAGAAAATAACGAAGAGCCCTCACGCGTCAATCATTGTCCCCTTCTAGCTGCTACGCGACGCTCTTGACCTTATTCCAAATACTTGCACATGGCCAGGTTATGCTGTCATCAATCATCCCAATGACAATACGAGTCTTCGTTTCAGGCCAGCTTTTTTGTTTTTGCGCTCGTTTTGTCATGATCCGATTGCAATTGTTTTGAGTTGAACTCTGGATTGGTTGGCTATGTGGTGACCCCATTTTACCGGCGGCTGCGACTGAGATGGTGATATCTCCGTCTTTAACCACGGCAGTAGTGGTGGGTCTCCAATGCGACTGTGTGGAGGTCTACCTAACAATGGTTCTTTACTCGGGACAACGTTCGCAAATGGTTGGTAAGGTTGAGCCACAACCCAAATCTCACACAATATGTATTGGTGATTGTGGCGATAATAATATATGGCTTCGTTGATATATCTCCATCATGTCCATCGCAGTCTGACAGCTTCATAACACTGAGCTTCCGTGTACCTTGCACTGGCACCCATGTAACATCTGTCCTCCCCTCTCCTATGCAAAGACATACTTTCTTCGCGAACTCTTGTGTACTAAACCGCTTGGAGTTAATGAAGCTGTCCACAGCATCAAAAGATACTTTCCATGGTGGCAAGGAACCTGAGTTACCAGTTGTGGCCGCATCTGCATCTGGACACGTCTTGTAACCATGTTCGAATCTGAGCTTGAGCAGGTACGACAGGAAACACCACGACTTCTTATTCTAACAACCACAACACATGAAGGGATGTTGATGCGAGGTTGTGAGATAGACGGTAAACATTCGCGCTTCCCAGCACAAAAGCAATCCTCGGGTCTTTCGTAATTTTTCGCGATGGATCACTGGATGATCAATGGCAACTCCCTGGAGCCAACAACCTAGTTGCCGTATGGATTCACTAGTTTTCTTGACGAAACTTCATTCAGGGTACCAGTGCACTCGATTGAAGGCCCAGTCCCGGTGTTGGCGGTTCAATGGACGAGGGCGCTAATTGCGGCATCAGCGACTTCATCATGGAGACCAAGTCGGCTGCTTTGAACGGTTTCTGCATGACGCGATCCTGCACACTCCGTTAACATACGGTTGATACTAACAATCTTCTGGTACCTACTGCTCCGGCAGCGATAGCCGTATCGATCTGTTCTTTTCGGACATTCGCTGTAACAGCGATGACGGGCAAACGTTCAGAAGCGTACACCTGTTCTTTCTCCCTTCTACGAATCTCGCGCATCGCGCCAAGGCCATCAAGCACCGGCATCTCCAGATCCATCAGTACGATGTCGAACGTTTCTCTTTCCAGTATCTCAAGAGCCTCTAGACCGTGGTTTGCGACTGAAACATGACATCCTGCTTTTTTGAGCTGCTTGCCGAGAACTTGTTGGTTGATGATGTTGTCCTCCACTAACAACACGTGCAGTTGCCGAGCCGCTGCTTCTTGTCCAGTCTGTTGGAACATTTCTTTGAGGGTCCTGGGCTGCCATTCCACCCTTCGCGTTTTGACGTAGAATCCGAATGTCGATCCTTGGCCCAGAACCGACGAGACACCTATCTCACCACCTTGCTTCTCAGTAAGCGCTTTAGAGATGAACAAGCCCAGTCCGCTACCTCCATACTTGACATGCGTCTTTACGTTTGCTTGTCGAAAACGCTCGAAGATCTTGTAAATTTCCTTGTCTTGTAAGCCAATTCCGGAGTCCTTGACTGTGAACGCAAGGTAAATCTCTTCACCAGTACCCCAGTCTGAATTGCTGGTAACGTCGCCGTCTTGCTTGCCATCCGTTGCCCAGAACATATTTCTTGGGAATAGATCACGGGGATCTGACGTGCTAGCACCAAAGCGGATGGAGATGTTCGGCTCTTTGGACGGCTTGACGAACTTGATCGCATTCGTTAGTAGATTGATGAATACCTGAGTCACCCGAGATGGATCCAAATAAACGTGGTCAATGCCTAGGGCCAGAAAAGATTTGTCCGGTGTGATGTTGTACGAGATCTTATTCGTCTTCAGCTCAGCCTGGAAGATGTTGACGATGGAGTCTACAAGCTTCGTGGGCTTGACTGCGACAGGCGTTATAGACAAGAGCATGGAGTCGAGTTTACTCAATGTGAGTACATCGTCGATGATACGTTTCTGGTGATTTGCACATTGCATGATGACGTTTGCGCTTTGTATGTTGTCATTCAGAGCATCGAGGCACGGTACGGGTATATCGGCGAGCTGGGTTTGGCACTCTTCAATCGCATTGGCAATCGCGTCTGCGCAATGCACGATGGCGCTCAACGGGTTTCGCATCTCGTGCGAGACTACGTCAATGAAGGCCTCTTGCTGTCTTTTTGCTTCTCTTGCTTCAGCGGCCAATCGGGCCTGGAAATTCTGTGCCCAACACAATCTACTAATGTCAGTCGTACAAGCCATTACACTGATCACACTTCCATGCTCGTCGCGATATGGGAAGGCTAGAACCTGGAGCTGGGCAGGCTCGGGATCGCCCGTGGGAGGCGTGTACATGCGCTTCAAACGCAAGTCGGCTGTAACGTGGTCGGCGCCTTTAATCAGACGTTCCCAAACATCTTCAGCCTTTGCTCGATCATCGTCGTGATAAGCTTCGAGAAATGCAAGGCCAACTGCATGGTCAGAAGCAGATTTCCCAGCTAGCTGGTAATAGTGATCATTCGCCCAAAGCATTAAGCCATCCAGAGAGACGTGGCACATGCCTACAGATGCATGATCAATCAGATGACGTAGCTTGAGATCGCTAAAAGCAAGGTCAGCTTCCAGCTGCTCTTGACGCTTTCGATTGGCTTCACAATCGACGGCAGACGATACAATGCTCGAAACCATGCGACTGAGATCTCGAATGAACTGTTTGCAGACATCGTCGTGTGGGCGGTAGGGATTTGTACCAAATACGAGATAGCCAAAGAGGCGTGTTCCGCACATGATAGGACTTATGATAATCTTCTTGGACGGCGCACCCCAACCTCCCCAAGAGGTAGCTAGGAATCGGTCATCGTGCTCGATAACCGTCTGTTCTGCACCGGCTCGTCGCAGGTCTGGGATCAAGCCTTCTTCGCTATCAATAGTGGCTTCTTCCACGATGAGGCCATGTCCTTCTGGAAGTCCATTACAACCATGAAGTCGCAATCTGTTGGAGCCTGGAGTCTCATCGATTCGGTAGAGCATGACCATGGGCACGTCGTTGGCGTTGGATTCGAGCGTGGTGAGGATGTGGGAGCAGACGTCGTCGACACATTGAGAGGGGACAGAGGCAAGTGTGTTCAGACAGTTGGTGCGGCGGTCGGCGAGTTTTTGGCTTGTGACCTCGTAGCTAGTTGCGTCAGTTGGGGAACGAAGCCTAGGCTGTGTGCGACTGAGAGGGCCATGTTCTGCAAGTTGTCCATTGAACGTAACTCACGTCGTGTTGATGAAGCCCTCGATGGCGCCTGGCATGCCTACTGGCACAAACCCGCCCGAGAAAAACGTCTCCTCTGTATACCCCTTGCGCTCAACCACCGTGGGCGTAGCAGAGCTGTAGTTTACGCCAGCGCCTGTTCGCTTGGCCTCTACGAAGTATTGGCGAATAGACGGCCAGAGATCCGGATAGCCTTCCTGGAAGAGGGATCCCATAAGCTTGGGATGCACGCCGGCGGCAAGAGGCGCATATGCCTCATTGTATATAGCCGTGAGATTGGAGATGTCCCCCCACCAGAGGCAAGCCCCGCGTGAATCAGAAAGGACGTAGCTGGCAAAAAGTCGCAGCGTCTGGCTCCATGTGCTTGTTGGTCCCAGGCTGGTACGCGACCAGTCGGTGTTGCAGAAGAAGCGGATATGATCTGTCTGAGGCAGCGCGGCTGTCCAGTCATATGCGCATCCCTTGTCCTGGTCGGGCGGGCTCATGGGAGGAGCCCCGAGGCCTTCTTCGTCCGGAGGAGGGGTGAGCATCTGCATGTGGCTGCCGATGCAGATGTGACAGTCGCGAGAGAGAGACACGAACTGACTGCAGCATTCTCAAAAGAAATTGGCGGTCGCGCAGACAAGACACGGCCAGAGCACGGCTATCTTTTGTCCATGCGATCCGTTGGTTTTGGTTGACAGCGACGGTGGGTCTCTCGGCCAGGGTTGGCGTTGATGGAGGGTGGGCACGGGCACCATCGCAGATGCAAGTGCTCTCACTGCCGATCTACCGGAATCCGATCGCTTCGCGCCGAAATCACATGTCTCCAGAGCATACCCCATACTTCACTCTTAACTCTATTGTCTACATAGGCCAGCGCACCCTGCATCTGGGCAAACGATATCTCAACTCTCACACAGCGACAAGACATGTCGTGTTTTGCCAAAGCGAATCTTCTCCTCCTGCGAACATCACGCCGCCACAAGCGGATGATCCTTTTTGTTCATCGACCGATCACCAAGATTTGGGCCATGGGGATAACAGGGGCGCCATGCTTCTACCATACAATTAGGCTGCTCCCGGAGTTTCGCAGCCTCACCGAACACACCTAGTCGCTAATCATCGTCCCACAGCATTAAGGCTAAATACTATTCCAGCACTATAATCCACCTGCTCGTATGATGTCTGTCCGAACCGAGTACATCTGACTCAAAGCACTACAACCTTCACCGGATTTAACGCAATTTGCACCCACGCCTGTTCCACTTGACATCCGATGAAAACCCTGTCTACAATTTTCTCCTCTCTTAACCACCATGTTAAGCAGCCACCGCCTTGCGATCTCGAATCGTGAGACCAGAGGGATACAGTTGTTCGAATGTTTTATTCGAATCGTCTTCGCCTTCTAGCTTGGCGCGGAAACAGTACGGTCTGTCATCGCGACAAATGAGCTGATAGCTTCCTTTGTCGACTTTGCATCGCTGCACCGTACGCAACGTTCCATCTGCCTCGATCACGAGCGTCGAGTGCCATGGCGTTGCGCCCAAAGCTCCTTTTTCTTGCTGCGGAATGATAGCCATGGACAGCTTATCTTTACCACCCGAATCGTGGATTGATAGACGGATGTATTGTGTAGGTACGGCTGCCAGCGCAGCGGAAAACGCTTTCCATCGACCCATCATCTCCTTTGCTGTGTTGGCAATATTCGCAGCCTGGTCTTCTGGTGACAGCGCGTTGTGCCGATCGTTGAAAGCCAGGTCCTGCTTTAGAAACTCGAGATACTTGGTATGGGTCATCTGCATGTCGCTAGTGGATGTGTTGGCCATGTCCGCTTCGAATTTGGGGTCACCAAAACGTTGCTTGAGCTCTTTTCGAATGTTTGCTGCATGCTTCAAATAGTACTCCTTTGACTGGAAGTCTCCGGGATAATCGAGCAGGTCCCAGAGGCGCAAAAAGGTAAGGTTCTGAAGCTTGTTGGCTGCAGCTATTTCTCGCACGCCCTGCCCAAAATTCCATACGGTTTCATCGGTCACACCAAGCAGATCTGCCATCGTCAGCAGTATATCGAGGCATGGTGTTGTTTTCCTCCAGCTCACCGTTGTATACGAGACCATCAGATGTGATGTGGCATTCAGCGCCATGCCCATAGATCGCTTTGATTTTCTCGCACAGCCCATCCAGATGTTTCAGCGCAAGCTCTTCGCCTAAATCCGGCAAGACACCCAGCACCTTGTCTTTCTGATTTGGCGATTTGAAAGGGAAACCAGGTAGAAACATGCGAATTGGTTCCTTGCGCTCTCCCTGTCCCGCCACAATAGGTAGGAACGTCTCGAACCCATCCCAAGCTCCAGTCCGCTCGTAGTTCAGACCATACTGTTCGACAATCTTTAGTACTTCGGTCGCTTTTGCGTCTGCGTCGGTTGTATCGTCGATGGGAGCCATGGTATCTGTCGCGTCCTCTGTGATGCAGAGTTGCGACAGACCTGCACGTTATATACGTGATGATCTGCTGTGTTGCACCTTCAGCTCCTGCCGGGGCTGCATCCAAAACAAGGCGTCCGCTGAGGCACAGCTGTAAGCACGCATCAATTCGCGCCCGCCTGCTACGCTCGCGTATGCTGAAATCACGATGCGACGAATCTGATGAGATGTCGAGATCCATATTTCTTATTATTATGTTACATTGTTGCGAAGAAAGCCCTTGTTCTTGTTCAATTCGGACGTTGAAAGCTCATAGGAGTTATTTTTCCCTTTTGCAAACGAGTCGTCAGCAACCAGGAATGTGTTGAAGCAATCTATTTGTGGTCATCCAGCGCTCCCAGCTCCAGCCTCCGCGGCTGATAGCCCCGCAATAGCTAGCTGCAAGCGGCTAGCAACAGTGGCACACATCAGCCCCCAAGCTTACCCAGATATGTCTCTTCTCTTTTACACTCTGGATACCTTCCTTGCAGGATGCTTGTTAATGGATTCTCGCACGCCTTACAGCGGTCTCGACCACGTATCACTTACCTCATATGCTAATGCACGCGATGCTCGCATTCTGCACAATCTAGACGAAGCGCATGTAGCTGCGTTGGACTGCACCTACCATGACGTAGGTCACTTTGATCAACCTCCTCCTCCATCTTTCCAAGGTTGTATTATCCTTATCAGGTGTATGTTAGATCGGCCAAGTGGACTGACCAAACATGAAGCCGATGGATCGTGCTCTCATTTGTGGCACGAAGTCTGTCAGAGGTCGATGGAAACAGTCTTCCGCCCAGCCTCCAGGAGAAGTAGAGACTGGACTTCTTGGAGCTGCCTCTTGTTTTCTCTTTCGCCTCTCAAAAAGATCCCAATTTCAAACTGCCCCCTCGAAACCACCCTTCTTATCAGGTTTATCTCGAGTAGTTCCGTCCTGAAACTCATTCCAGACCTTACTGCCTCCTTTACTCCTGGCAGTGTTCATTGCCTTCTCGTGTATTTCTGGAATTGGAAGCTGGACCTTCCCGCGCTCAGCTGCTTCTTGTAAGGTACGCGCTCTGTACTTTCTCCCTTCTTGTCCCACGCAAAGCTCAATCTCTTCTCAAGATCTCAGTCATTGTAAACTAAGGCGGCAATCCCCTAATCGTCACCGAGTCTGACATGCCCACCTCTGATTATCCAGGCAAGGATGACGACTGAACAACTTACATACCCTTGTTCCTTGAGATCATAGACGGAGGATTTATTGAATTTACTGATACTAGCAGTCTTCCAGATTGCATTTGCAGAAAAGAACGCTTTTATCGAACGAGAAACTTTAACAATTTCCACTTCGGATATCTGCGAAGCGTGAACCTGCAATACATCTCTGCAATCTTTTCGATAAAACTAGTTGTAGCTACCAGAAGCTCGACCATAAAGTATACCTAGGTATTTTGGTCGACCGGTTCATGTCGTAATTTTGAAGAACCACACCGGAATGACACAGCGCAGTCTACTGACATTATACCAATCGCTAAACGAAAGAGATTAGGAAGATCATCGGAAGGATATTATAGAAGTGATGCCTGGCGAGATTTGTAGTCATTGAAACTTGCCTTTAACAGAAGCGGGGCATACAAGTATTACGTCATTTGTAGGGTTCGGCAGTCACCTAACATGGCAACCGGTCTATTACAAATCATTGATACACTATGTCGGCAGACAACTGGTAGAGAGAAACGACAAGCTTCGGCTACTTACAAGGTACTCATAATGTCGGTTTTATAGTCTTTGTAAAGCTTCTGCATTACACAGCATTGGTAAATAGCGTTTGTTCACATACAGTTAATAAATCGGAGACTTGTATCTTGGAAGAAGACACCGCTCATTACCCTATCACACTGATTTTCTGCTTACCATAATGCCCATTCTCATAACTGGTGCATCCGGGTGAGTGCGCTTCTATTGGCCAAGTCTACTTTATAACTCATTGGTCTGATAGATACCTCGGAGGCTCGCTACTTGCACAGCTACGCAACACCGCCCTCCCAGGAAATGAGACTATATATGCTCTAGTCAGGTCTCAAGAACAGGCAGAGGCAGTAAAGGAATATGACGTACTTCCTTTCACTCTCGATTTGCAGGACGAGAAGAGTGTTACGAAGAACATTGTAGATGCGCAGATCTTCGTCGTCTATTTCCTTGTAGACGCTGTGAATTGCGATATGCAGATACCTCTAATTAAAGCTCTCGGAGAGGTCAAGAGGCAGACCGGACAGGAAGTGCACTTTCTACACACCAGCGGCGCAAAGATGTTTAGCGAGCATGCAGGAATGCCCACCGATAGGAGACTTCTTGACACTGATCCGGCATTGTACGACCTCCAGAAAAGCTCCGAGTCTCCACACGAATTCTTCACCAAAGTAAGTCGCACACAAGCAGCGAGTGTAATACTTCTCTCTATTCCACAATCTTCGCATCCCAATCATGATCATTCATGCAAATCTAGGCAGCGAATACGAACATCACCGTCATCGAAACGGCCGAGAAATATGGTGTTCGCAGCTACATTTTTGTTCCATGTATCGTGTATGGCGAAGGTAAAGGCTTTGGGAACAAAATCTCGATCCAGACTGTTGCGGTGGTCACAGCTGCGAAGGGTTCTGGCACCGTCTATGATGTCAACCCGGAAGACCGGGTGTGTGCAATTAGAAAAATATCCAGGCGACGACCGGCATACTAACAGCCTACCCAGACTTGGCCAGTATGCCATATTGACGATAACACAAAGCTTTATGTAAAGCTGCTAAAGAGTATCCTGAGTGGCGAGAATCCAGGGTATGGCAAGGACGGGTACTATCTCGCTTCGTCTGGCAGTATGGTGTGGTACGACATATACGCCGCCATGGCAAAAGCACTTGCGAAGCGTGAGGTGATCAGTAGCCCTGATGTTGAGAGAGCAGACGATGCCGCGCTTGACAAGATGGCGCAGGCCTTGGGCTGTCCTAAAGATATGGTCGCAGTGCAGCTGGGTGGAAAGTAAGTCCTTATGCATCTCCGCAAACGATGGTTCAAATGCTGACCTAGGACGCAGATGCACATTCGAAGCAAAAAGGGCCTATAGTTTGGGCTGGAGGCCGGATCATGCGCCGGAGCATATCGTTGAAGTGGCAGATGCCGAGGTTGAGCTTATCTTAAACCAAATAGGAACGACCACTGGCAAAATTACTAAGAGATAGGAGAAAGAGCCAGAAGGAGTCTTCGACTCTTAGTTCTAGTATGGACAAAGCATCCCCATATTCAAGAATCGAAATATCCTTGCAATCATCTCATAGCCAAACCCACTTGTTCATCTGTACCCATACTGACGAGTATCTAGCTGATATCGGTCCTCAACCAGATACGGCAGAGTTGCTCAAAATATTCTCTAGTTCTGCCTTGGTATATCTTTGCTGTGGTTGCTGCAGTGTAGAGTCAGCCACATCCCTTGCCCCTGTATACTCAATCGACTCACCTCAATGAACTTTGGCCCATCATACTCGCGACACAACTTGACATACTCCACCAACGGGCCCATAATCGTAGTATCTACATTCAGCGCTGGACCGCTCAGCGCGACATCCAAGTCATAAGCCAGCACAACGATCGGGCCTCGAAACGGCAATCCAAAGGTCTTGTTCTCATCCAGGGCACGCTCTCCATGAGTGTTGGCGTCATAGTTGATTTGGACAAAGTACGGTAAATATCGGTTATGGAAAGAGAGCTTTTTGATCTCTTGAGCGGGTACAGCGGGGAAGTGATCTTCGAGGCCGCCTACCGTACCTTTCTCGTCGAACGCGAGGACGGAGAAGAGAGGTTTGTGAAACTTTTCGGGGAAGTATAGGACACGCCGCAGGGATTCGTGTATGGGTTTCTGGGTAGCGTTGACATATGACTTGCAGATGAGCTTGTGGTTGGCATCCCAATCATGCTTTTGACAGGCTGGTGAGCAATAGCGGATGCTCTTGCACTTACTGCACTTGTTCTTCGCGCTGGACGCATGGCAGGTAGCGCAGAGATCTGGGATGTTGGTGGACGGAGGGGAGATTGGAATATAATCTTCCAGCATGAGGGGATAGCCGAAGTCTTGAGATATATGTGACCCAATTGAAGACATGGTATCAGCCTGTGGAAATCTCACATAACAAGGCGACACCAGGACTCAGGAATACTGCAGGTTTTGAAATAAAAAAAAAGTAGCTCGAATCAAGATATGATGAAGGTCATCGCAGAGTCAATAAGTAGGATAGGAGAAAATAAACAGAACTAGCATGAGTTGTAAAGCGTGTAGGACAAGGTCAAGGGACTGTACCTCACTCCAGGAATATACGACTTTACCTCGAGTGGATAGTAAACGCCCAGGCAGTCTCAATACGGACGATAGAGCCACTGCGATGGATGAAAGAAGACGTCGAAATCTACACCACCAAACACACCGATTGCCGGGAAAAGATCACACTCTCCTCTCAGCCCAGTGTTGCCTCCCTCGCTCCTCACGTCAAGCTCCTCGTTGCCATCCCAGCCGCCTTCCTTCACTCCATTGCGCGTGAAGAAAACATCAATATCCAACATCCTTCCCTGCTGCGACTCTTCATATGAGGGTGGGTTCCGGGGAACTGAGAAGGTTATCCCGATACCCACAGTATCACCAGGCTTGAAAGCTGAGGTGAAGTCGATGCCGCCCCATGCATCGTTGACATACTTCCTCCCGTCATCACCATGCACACCAAGACTGGCACGCTCCCAACCTGGAAGACGAAAGGTGGGATACGGTGGTGCGACAAAGCCTATGGCAATGCCAGCGTCTGCTTCTGAGAAGGAGATACCACCACGACCTATGCCAATAACTTTTAGCTCGAAATAGATAGTCTTGGAGCGCTGCGTGTTGAGTGGTGAGTCCCAGAACACGCTATACATGGGTAGATTCGTGAGGACGCTTGAGTCTCTGCACTTGGCATGGGTGCGACACCGCCAATGCCCAGCTTGAGGTTGAGGAAGTAGATCACCCAGATAAGATGGCGCCTTCAACAAAGCGAGCTGACCGTTCTGAATCGCAGCATGAGTGCTGGGCTGGAGATTTTGTGGTGGCCATAATGGGTTCATGTTCGTCCAAGCCAAGGCACGATCACCTTCCTCGGTAGACGCGTTGGCAGTAGGGGAACTATCGTAGCCCATCGACGGTGGCGGAGGCAAAAGTGAAGTGTCAGGAATGACGGTCCAATCATGGTATGGCGGAGGATCCCAACTAGGAGGCGGTTGCTGCGGGTACGAAGGAGGCGGTCCCGCTGGAGGTGCGTAGCCTGAGGACTCGCGTTTAGGCGGAGGTCCGGGAGGTGCAGTATACGACGAAGATCCGCGGTGTGGTGGGGGTCCTAGAGGTGCAGAGTACTCAGACTTGGACGATGATGAAGCCTGGTTTGGTGGCGGGCCAGGAGGGGCTTGGTACTTTTCCGTTGGCGCTATGTTGTGTTGTTGTTCTTGGGGCGAGTTGTAATAAGGATTATTCGAGTTCTGGTTGTGGTCATCCGTCCCGTATGAAGGTCTTGTGGAACTGTCATCACCCTTGATCTTGTCTTTCAACTTTTTGAACATGATGACTTTGGAGACTGAGTACTGGAAGCAAGTATCTAGTCTTAACTTCGAAGCGGGCGTTAGAGATTTGATAAATCTTTGTTTGTGGTAGTACTGCTGTGACACTACAAGTAAAACGGGCGCAGTTCAATGATGATGTATGGATGTTGGCCGTTTGTGGCTGTGCATGCGTGAACAAACATGTTAGCTGTCACCTAGCCTTCTACGTCATCGCGGCTTGGCGACAGCCTCCTGGACCCGAACCTCGTTTACGCTTCAGAATCCACCTAGTGTGACCGCAGTAGAAGTGCTGATACTGATGGAACCTGTGTGGAGACCAACAGATACCGTTTTCTTAAGTCATGCTTCGGCCGCATACCTTCCAGCCACAGACTTTCCCTTAACCCGTCCCTCCAAGAATTTCACCGGAACCTCGACTTCGACATCTCTCAACCAGTCGCCCATGCCCTTCGCAAAAGCATCCAACCTACTGCTCCCGCTGACGCCCCTACCCAAGACCCCATAGACCACAAAATGTACAGCCATGATAGCCTCGAACTCCACTCTTTCTACGAAGAAGCTGTCGCTCCAACTTTCTCTAAACATTTCTTTGAGTTTGGTGATGGTAAGAAAGCTGCGGAGCCAGCCCCAGGTTTCGGCATAGAGAGGTGATCCGTGTGGGTAGGATGATGGTAGGTTGGTGGGTACGAAGAAGCCAATGTTTGCGTTACCGCCTTTGTCGCCCGATCGGGCGAGCACTACGTCTCCCAATCGTGCACGCGTTGTTGGACCAAAAGACTGAAAGCCCACTGGATTCAGAGTCTCGTAACTCTGCCGTTTCCCGATTTCCTCAAACTTTGGTGGCGGCGTGGTCGTCACTACCCTCGTCCCGCCAGATTCGAGCATGTTGATTGCGGTTTTGAGCTTGTTTTGCGGCCAAACCGCCGGATAGAAGGACAGGTACGGTTTCGGTATCGCTGTGCGATGGTCCATCGTACTATGAAATCCCGAGTAATGTTGCATTGCAAAGTCAGCCAGCAAGCTCGCTAGGCCCAGGTTCACATTCGGATCGCTCGTCTCGGCAAAGATTCGACAGTATGATGTACTCCGGAGCTGACTCTTCGGGTCGGTCTCTGGTACGCCTATGCGCTGGAATTCCAAGATGTCGAAACTGTTCAGTATGCCCTTCTGTTTGAGACCGAATTTGATTATACGTTCCCAGAGGTTGAACTTCTCAGTGGTTGCATATCCGGTTGCATTGACGACAATCTCAGACTGGTACCCTGCTTGATAGAAGATGGCAAGTTTGGTAGTAGGTGGAGGCGGTCCACCTTTGATGCCCCACACGCGGACTCTGTCTAGAGCTTAGCGATACTGCTGTCGGTGAAGAACAATGACGATTAGAAACATTCGGACGTACCTGTTTCTGTCCTCAGCTTTGACCTGCACCTTGTCCAGGATCGCCTTGACGTCGCTATTCAGGTATACGTTCCCCTGCAACTCGTATAGAAACTGACATTTGACAGTATCCTCAGTTACAAAACCTTTCTTAGCTTCATGTTTCGTAATCACACAAGTACCATCCTTTTCGATCTCCGCAATACCGAAAGTGAGATCGTAGAGCTCGTCCAAAGGATACTCATAAAAACCGGCAAAGTTCGAGCCCGTCACATAACCACTGCATTCGATAAGATGACCCGCAATAAGCGCTCCAGCAAGCGCATCGAAGTCGGTGTCATTCCACGAGTACCAATACCATGCAGCGCCGATGACTGGACTGGCGTCTGCGACACGACCGGCGATGATGATGTCTGCGCCTTCTTCAAGGCCTTTCACGATTTCGCGAGCTCCGAGGTAGACGTTCGCGCTGACGATCGGCTTGTCACTCTTCAGAATATCAAGTACATGGTCAGCGACCGTCACCTCGCTATTGTCAGAATCCAGGTGTGGGGGTAAACCTTTCTCTTTGACGTCCTTCATCTCATTGATCAAGTTATCACCTGACACATACGCCACCGTCAAGTCATAGCCTTTACTCGCGACCTAACCATATATAAGTAAATTCATGCACTAGATGTCTAGGGTGAAGAGTGCAAACTCACGAGTTTTTGTACCTTCTCCGCTAGACCCTTGGGGTTATGCGCACCGCCATTAACAACGACCTTGATTCTCTTCTCATTCAGTAAATCGATGGTCTGCTCAAGCCCATCCCAAGCTGTCTTTTCCCACCCAGGATGCTTGCCCTCTGCATGTGCCTGAGCGTTTTCCGCAATATTGACCTCGGCAAGATAGTCGCCCGTGATAAAATCTGTATCTCCCAGTTCTGCTTGGTAGCGCATATGGTACCCTGGATCGCCTAGGACAGGTCAGTCTGAAATTGAGGCTAGGCGCAAGGTCAGTGTTACCTTTGTATCCTGAGCAGTTCGCTACCCTCACTGGCCGGGTCCCCCGATTTGATGACATGACTGACCGTCTTCGTAGTCAGAATGGAGTTTGAAATTGATACTTCCTCTACAAGCTCCACGTATTCGCCCACCCTTTTGATGTTCCAACCTGACTCGACAAGTTCGTTGACTTGTTTTCCGATTAGTTTGTTGAGTGATTCGCACAAAATGGTTATATACGTTATTCAATGTCGTGACAACGGCGTACAAGCCTACGCAGGGCTGGAATCCAACACTATAGCAACACAAGTTCCATTTAAGCCATCCCATCAAATATCCTGGATTCAATACCACATCCCCTTCCTGATACAACGCTAGATGCGGGGTGATACCCCACCTTGGGCGACTCGACTAGTTCGATCTACCGAGGACCGAATCGGGTATACCCAACGTTAGTGAGATGCAATATGCGTTCATCTATCATGATCGGCAATGCTTGAATATCACAGCTGACGACTAAGGTTTTGTAGCGCAATGTTGCTGGTGAGCCGATTGGCGTAGTGGGCGCTTTCGTACGAGACCCAATGAATGATCGGTCCGAGTGGGTCACAACTCGGATATGTGAGAACAATAAAGCTCTCGATACCCGCATGTCGTAGCTCTGCCTTTGAACTTACAAACCCAATTCCAGACCGCTGATACCATCATGACCATCAACGATACGAACGGTCATACCAATAGCGTGAACAATGCTACCAACGGCAGTTCCAAAAGTTACTCCGTTCCTAACGAAACGCAACATGTATTCGACAATGGAATATTGAAAAACCCTCTGATCGCTCCCACACTCCCCGCGGAAATCGCAGAATGCGCGAAGAAAGTCCAGTTCAAAGGCACATCTAAGCCCAGTATACCGATAAACTGGCGCTTCGCCGAAAGTATCTCAGCACTCAAGGGGCTAGAAGCGGCCATGATCAATGTTCTTCTGAAGAGGAAATATGGCTTGGAACCACAAGAAGCGATCATAGATACGTGAGTTGCCAAGATACAATCTTCGTTCCGGACGAGCGTTTTTCCAAATAGCTAACGCGTGTCGGTCAAACAAGCGACCATGCACAGCTTTTCTTCATGTCCATCTTACTCAACGTTGTCGACCCGGAAGGCGAGAAGATCGAATTTCTGACTAAACCATTTGCAAAGGGGTCGAGCGCATACAACAAGTACTTCAAGAACTGTGATAAACATGATGGAAGTAGGAGTACATACCGTGTAGCGGCTACGAACATCTATCGGTGCAAAGATGGAAGATACTTCCATTTGCACGGTTCCATGAATCCTGATCCAACCCAGGAAAGTGTCGGGTTGCCGTATGACAAGGAGTTGTCAGAGGAGGAAGAGCCGTGGACCCCATACGTGGAGAAGTTGGCACAAATAGACTCCGGCGAGATGCAGAAGTTGGCGTCGGATGTGTACAAACAAGCTGGTACAATCTGTTGGACGACTGAGGAGTTCAAGAAGAGCGAGCATGGTAAAGCAAATGCTCATGTCGGCCTCTATGAAGTCCACGACATCAAGAACAAGAAGCAGCCAGCGTGCTGGTGGTCAGATAGCCTAGAGACGAGTGCAAAGAGGCCACTTGCAGGGCTCAAAGTAGTCGATCTGACCCGCGTCATCGCTGCGCCAGCTCTGACGAGAGGTCTTGCGGAACTCGGTGCTTCGGTAATGAGAGTAACAGCAGAGCATATTACCGACATGTCCATGCTACACGTTGATCTCAACTGGGGAAAATGGAACTCGCATCTTGATTTCCGAAAGGAAGAGGACCGAGAAAAACTACGCGCCTTGGTTCGAGATGCTGATGTAGTGGTGCAGGGCTATCGGCCTGGTGTACTCGACAAATATGGGTTTTCCCCGGAAGGCTTACTGGATCTGACGAAAGATCGAGAGCGTGGTCTAATCGTTGTGCAGGAGAATTGCTATGGCTGGTATGGACCTTGGTCATATCGCAGCGGTTGGCAGCAAATTTCCGATGCTTGCTGCGGCGTGTCAATGGAGTTTGGACGAGCTATGGGCAGAGACGAGCCTGTCACACCCGTCTTCCCCAATAGCGATTTCTGCACGGGTACATCTGGAGTCATCGGAGTGCTGAATGCACTACTTCGAAGAGGCGCTGAGGGAGGTTCCTACAAAGTCGATGTAAGTTTTTTCACTGTTCTTGTAGCATTGTTGATACCAACGTTTATAGGTCGCATTGAATTACTACTCTCAATGGCTAGTAAATAGCGTCGGCACCTATCCTAAAGACGTCTGGGAAGAAGTCTGGACACGTAACGGAAATCAGGTATTCCGCCACTGCCACAATATGCAGTATACGTTGCCGCGCTACATGAAGATGTTGGCCGAGAACTCGGGATCCGTGCTCTTCAAACCAGACTTCTTCGAGGTTCGACACGCAGGTGCAATCGGAAAGGACGTGAAAGCCGTTAAGCCCATCATTCAATATCCACAGGGGAATGTAAAGCTCGGTTACAACGTAGGAACGCGAGGAAACGGTGTAGACCAGCCGGTGTGGCCGAAGGATCTGATGACCGAGGTCGTGTCATAATGAGTCATCCGCTTTGGTCTATGAATAGCGTAGTATGACCAATCGCACAGCCATCTGTCTGTGGAAACAAAACCAATGAATTGTGTAGCATCTTAAGTAGACGGGTGGATATGAGGTGTAATCGACGCGAGGAATCTTGAGATGTCAACGCGAAGAAGACGCGCTAGGCGGACACGTCTACGCGTCTTCACGTGTATCCGTCTCGGGCGAAATCTCACTTGAAATCATCCGCTGCACAGATGGACAATGACGATACTCAAATCTCTGACGTCCAGATACGAGGTCAAAAGTACAATTGCATGAGTTAAAATTACACATCCCCACCGCTGTAAAAAACTTGGAATGCTTCTCGACCAAACACTAAGCATCATTGACTCACATCCTACTCAACATAGCCTTATCCGCTAAAGTCAATATTACTCAACCTTATAAATACTTTGCACAAGAGATTGTTTCAGGAACTTACAAAACAAATTGTCTTTATTCAACACAGTCATGGAGACCCTCATTCACAGCCAGCGATTAACCCTCCTCCGCCTAACAGACACCTCATCAATTTCCTCACCACACGTTCGTCTCTTCCATGAAAACTGGTCCAACCACGATGCCACAGGATGGAGTCTCCATGGACCCACGCACTCCTTGGAAGAAAGCTATGAATGGATGAAAGAACAACTAGCACCATCACCAGGAAACGATAGCATGTTCTACTCTGTGTTTGCAACACCCAGCCCTTCGGCTTCGACTTTGAAAAGCAACGATGGTGAGGTTGGCGACGAAACTGGCTTAGGGGAGCACGTAGGCAGTGTAAGCCTTCGTCTTCAGCCCAGCGGTCCCTCCATCCCTCTTCCGCCTCCATCCTCGGAACACCCACACTCATCAACAGAGAGCATGAGGGCATTAGGATACGCCTTCTTTCCCTCAGCACGAGGCAAGGGATATGCGACGGAAGCGGGTCACGCGTTGTTGAACGCTTATACTGCTTTTGTGTCTTCGTCGTCGGTAACACAAAACAACAGCCCAGAAGGACATAGGATAGAGAAAGCATATGTTGAAGCAGCAGTAGACGAGGACAATCCTGGTAGCATCAAAGTACTGGAGAAACTCGGATTTAAGAAGCTGGGTTGGAAGCATGAGGAGGAGAAGGTGTTTCTGAATGGAGCATGGAGAGGACCTGGGTACTGGGTGTATGGCCTGTTTGTTTGAGTATAAAGGACTTTACACCTGGGAAAAAGGAAGACATATAGGCATAGGGAGTAAAGTATGCGGACGAAGAATATACGATACTCCATGTATTCCATCTTTGCGAAAAAAGAACCTAGTTATATTCTACAGTTACCTTACCACTCAGCGACCTCGCCTTGCTTAGGCAACGTCGCACGAACAACCTTGTCACAGTTGAGCAAGCAAAGAGGGTCGAAAGCCTTCTTAAGCTGCCTCATCGCGTCAACGGTACTTTGACCTACTTCATGTGGCAGGTAGTCTCTCTTGACAAGACCAACTCCGTGCTCCCCTGTGGCAGTGCCTTCGAGTTCGATGGCACGCTTCACCATTTCGTGGACAAGGTGAGACGCCTTTTCGTGGTCGCGGTTGCGATTGTACAGGATGATGGCTGTAGTGCATGTGAGCAAAGTCTGCAGGAAAAAGGTACAGATAAAATGAGCTTACAGTGGAAGTTTCCGTCTCCAACGTGTCCTACAATACTAGCTAGTAGGCCGCTCTGCCGGATCTGTTCTTTAGTCTCTTCGATGATTTGAGGGAGCTTAGATATTGGCACGGCAACATCTGTAGTCCAAACTCCCATCTCGGGATCACCTTCGCTCTTGGCCATGACACTCCATAGTGCCTCCTTGCGCGCTTGCCACAGGTCTTCTTTCTCTTGTTCAGATTTGGCGAATTCGAAGCTGACAGAGCCGGACTTCTTGGCCATGCCTTGCACTTGGCTGACCTGTTCTTTAACCGAACTTTGAGTACCGGCAAACTTGAAGAAGAGCGTTGGTGCATTCTTCCATGTCTTGGAGGTTTGCCCTGCGTCGTTGATGCACTGCATCTGAACATCGTCGAGGATCTCGATAGCGGCGATAGGTACCCCCGCACCAACGACCTTGAAGACGCAATCCGCTGCTGCACGGACAGATGGGAAGGCGCATACGGCTACACTGGTGTGTTGTGGTTTTACAGTGACCTTGAGTGTAGCTTCTGTGACGAGGCCCAATGTGCCCTCGCTGCCTATAAACATACGCGTGAGGTCGTATCCAGCAGAAGACTTTCGTGGCCGTTGTCGAGTTTTGATGACAGTTCCATCAGCCAGGACTACGGTGAGCGATATCACCCAATCCTTCATTGTGCCATAGCGATACGCATTTGTGCCAGAGCATCCTGTTCCGACCATGCCGCCGATCATTGCACCTGGACCTGGGTCGGGAGGGAAGAACAAGCCTTCCTTTGCAAGCTCCTCATTTAGAAGTTCCCAGCCCACTGCAGGTTGGACGACAACGTCCAAATCGTCCTTGTGTAGTTTCACGATTTTGTCCATGCGACTGAAGTCGATGCATATACCACCCCTTGTTGCGGCAAAGTGGCCCTCCAAACTTGTGCCTCCGCTATACGGAGTGACCGGAATCTTGCGCTCGTGGCAGACCTTCATGATGGCGCTGACTTCTTCGGTACTGCCAGGCTTCACGATACAGAACGGCACGTCGCCAGGTTGAGAAGGATGCGAAGACCACGAGGATCCGCTGTGCGACTCTAGATCATTCTTGTCTAGTGTGATGTTCTCTCTGCCGACAATGTCACGCAAGTCTGTCCAGGCTGCTTCCATGTTCGCTTCGGAGATGTTGTGCTTGGGAGGATTGAAGGTCTCGAGCGGCGCGGTCGAGCTCGTGTCTGGCTTTGGGGGGATCATTTGGCCGTAGTAGTAGCCTATGCAGCCTGTGAGAAAACATGCTAATCAATCATTAGTATGCGCCATGTTTGAGATGTTTGGATTCCAGTACCGAATACTGTCGCAAAGAATTGTCCTCTTGCCGTTCTTTGCTGCAGCGACTGAATCTGGATCTGCTCTGCCTTCTCTTTCTGTACACGCTCGTAGATACTCTCATTAAGTTGGAGGTAGAATGGCTTCTCGTCGTCCTTGCCCATCCTGTTCTTTTCACTCGCCCATCGCCTCTGCGTTATTCTTCCCGCTCCCGCACCAACTCCGCATTCCCGCCATAGTGCCCCTCCTCTGGCGGTCCGTAGGGCGAATGAGCCTCGCGGTAGGCTTCGTAAAGGCATTGCGACTATGACTGGCGTTCGCTCATGTCGTAGTCGGCGAGGCGACAATTGCGGGGAAAGCTTTGCATGTGAGCTGAACGATGATGATGCGCGGGTAAATCCCGGACTTAAGACGCTGCCAAGAGTTGTATATGCACGTCACAACCAGTAATGGGAAATCCATGTGTTGTGGAGAATCGTTCATGCTTACTTTTCCGGAATCAGAAATTACGCATGGAAACGTGATACTCGCGAATATCACGACATCGCGGAACAGATGTGAAACATCGCGTTACGGTCCGTCAGCTTGTCAGAGCACAATGTATCGCACGACAACGGCAAATGGAATCAACTATGGTCAATCATGATTTGTTCAAATATACTGCAATTGCGAGGCTCAATGGCCGAAGCCAGAGCGTTATACCAAAGACAACCCCAGCTCCCAACCAAAGGAACCCAAAATACCGCCACGCGGTGTCGGTCTTGGGGAAACTATCCAACGCCTGTCAACTGAGTGATAAAAATGGACCAAAAAAAGAGCTATAACAAAAGCAGATCTCTATCAATGCGCCCAAAGGTAAGAGCCGTGTCCCTAGAGATGCTCGCAGGATATACAGCATAAGCATGGGAGAAGCATGTATCATGAAAAAGGCCGTTATCCCAAACCGAACGCCATGCTAAAAACAAGTAAAGAATATGCAAGAATGAATCGGGTATAAGGATAAGATGCGAAACCAATCTGCTCAAGTGCCGGGTCAAGTGAGAGGGGTATGTAGGGCATCGAGGGGTAGAGAGACGGTGGCGTGACACCTCAGCCGACCGCTTACGCGTCGAGGTTGTATGCAACTACTACTCATGTGGCGGTGCATGTAACCTACTTCCCCGACATGCGCAGCAGTCGAGTCTTGAGCCAGATGACGAATCGTTGCCATGTGCCCTTTGCGGCTCGGCTCTTTGTAACCTTGGGTGTGGCGGAGAAGGCGGCTGCTTTCTCGGGGTCGACCGTAGTCACAAGCTTCGGCAGCGAGTTGGAGTGAGCCTCGCGATGGTCTGAGTACTGGCGCCCACCCACTGAAGGGCGGCCTCCCACCGAGGGCCGTGGCGTCTTCTCGTAATCAGTAGATACAGTGCGCGTACGGTTTATCTCGGTCCGATCGAGCGTTTCTGACTTGCGACGGTGGTGATCTTCTTTCTTCTGTTGTTTCTTGAAGTCGCGCTCCTGTTGCTTGTGCGCCTCTTTCTCGTACTTTCGCTCTTTGGCTCGCTGTTCCTCTTCGAACTTCTGTCGAGCAGCACGGATGGACGCAGCTCTCGAGGCAGGGTCAACGGGGGAGTCGCGTCCGCCGCGGATGAAGCGGTATGTCTGGTCAAACGAGGTGCGCGAGCTGGGTGAAGTCGTGTCAATGGATTTGAGCGTATCACCCCGCGCGCGAGGTACTCCGACTGGGGAAGTGAGCGAGACGGATGACTGGGAGTAGCTGCCAGCAAGGCGGGTGGATGAATTGTTGGTGTGGATGCGTAGGGATGTTCCCTGTGCCGAGGAGATGGAACCGGATCTGCGTCCTGGTTCGTACGCGTTTTGTCTCAGGCGGAACTCATCGTCGGACATGATATCATCACCCTCGTGGTCGCTTCCCAGGACTGAGGGCGGTGACGAGTTGGCTATTGGCGGTGTGTAGGGCTGCGGAGTCTGGCGAATGGCCGGCAGGGGTGTCGGCCGCTGCAGCCCAGAGGAAGAGGAAAACTGCGACGTGTTGGACGTTGAGCGGTTGTGTCTGTGGCGGCCGTTGACTGGGGAAAAAGTAACGTCGGATATGGACCGTGAGTAGGCGCCATATTCTGAAATGCCCAGACCGGAGAGGTCGTTCTCGGCCGCAGGTCGTGATAGATCGAGCCCACTGCTCTCCTTGGACGAGAGCTTGCGCAGGTAGGGCTTGATCTTGAGCTGGTGGGAGGAAGTCGTGGACGGCATGGGGCGTTGTGTCTCTATCCAAGACTCTTCGAAGACCTTGGGTGTTTCCGAACGATTAAAGGTAAAGGCGTCGTAGTCAGCAACGGGGCTCAGAGGGCGCGGGCTCGTAGCAGCTGAGGCGGAGTATCCTCGTTTGTGAAGACGCGCATGCCGGGTCGACATGTTGGAAGGTTGCTCGCGCGTGTTATCGGCGCATGTCAGAGTAGGTAGGCCAGGAGTGATCAGCGCTCGGAGGATGGTTCAAGTTACACGCTGGAGCATCACCAAGCCAACGTGAACGTCAGGACTCTTCCGATGGTTCCGCGGACGTCAAGCGTTCCCAACAGATGGTGGCGAAACCACTGTGTCAAGTCTTGGGGAGAGCGGGCCGCTGTTGATGATCCGGGGCAGTTCCAGGATTGACGACGGCCGATGGCGTATTCACCAGAGAAAACGGCGGTTACTTAGCCGGAAGACGCTTCCTTGGTTGCTGGGAATGCTGTGAACGCGAACGCTCAGTCCAACTGGCGGCGGCCTCGGCTCTAAGCGCCTAAACGGTTAGCCGGCGATGAGTGATGGATTACGTTGTCTGGAGTGATGGGCAGAGCATCACCACTCGAGACGGACGCCCGCGGCGATTGGGGAGGCGAGTGCTTATATGCGCTGCCGGGCCCGTCTTGTCGCGTGGGTGTGTGGAGGTACTTGGGTAGGAGAGGAGACCGGCTGGAGCGGAGTCGCCGTCTGCTTGGATCGAGATAACAAGACGACTGGCTGGGAGAGCCTCACCGCTCGTGAGCCACGGAACAGAGTGCTACCGTGCCGTCAGACGAGATATGCCTCATGGCTGCTCGCACCGTAAAATGCTCGATCTCTCTCCTCTTTCGCCCCGCCTGGATGCTTGGTCGCGCAGCAACTCCACGCAATCTAGTGGCACAGCAGCGTCGGAACGCGCAGCAGCTGGGCGGCGGGCTCGATCATGAGAGGTCACGAGCAGAGCTGCGGCTCATCACTGCAAACGTGGGCCGTACGCGCCAATGCAGCAAGCTGACCTAGATTCCTACAGCCGACTCGCGATTCGTATGTCTCAAACCGTGTACGCCTCAGCCATACTAGGCGCTCTGTCCATGGACAAGTTGGCTGTCTTCTCACGAGAGATACTCCGCTTACCCCGCCATCACCCAGACCTGGTCCTAGTCTAAGCCACCCAATATTCAAGGCTGTTATCTCTCACCTTAGTGCAAACACCGCATGACGACGAGGCCTGGAGGGGGGCCTGACCTGGGAATGCCTTGTCGTGGTACCTCACGTGCGCGCTATTTCACCACGGCCCGGATGAAACATCCATGGATGAAACACGTCTACCCCACACTCTGGTCCAACCATGTTCCTGTTGATCTTCCTCGAGCACGTGTCTGCGATCCCGACAAAGTAGTATGACATGTTCATTTGAGTATTGGGGACTGAGCCATCTGCTTAGTGCTGCACAGTCAGCCCTACAGCATCCACACTTGAGTTATGACGCCAATCACGCCAGAAGCCGGTTTATGTCTTCTGACTGAGTTATCGCTGTACATGGCGTTGAGAAGACGCCTCTGAACGGCGTATTGACCATAGAAGAATCCTGTGTCCCACCTTTGTGTTTTGCCTCTCTACAAAGAGTTCCATGATCGCCTTTGTTGGCTACTTTGTCATGGTATCCTACGACGCGTCGCACTGACATCTACGGGCTATCCTGTTACTACTACTACAGCTTTCCTAATGATGGGCAGCATGACGGACCTGGTCCCAGCTTCTGCCAAGGACCAATACATTGTCTATTCAACAGGAGACAGTAACATCGGAACCAGTTTAGGCTCATCGAAAATTTTGTATCTCAAATTGCTGCATGTCGTAATCTGGCTTTACCAATTAGCGCAGCAGGCATGTGCAAGTATGTAACTATCTGGCAGTATCTGTAGTTGTGAAATTGGAGGCGAGGCCAAAAGTAAATCGGTGTGTTGCATTACATGCGCGCACTTTACTGCTTCGTATACGCGCATAGTAGTTTGCTCAGTGAGAAAGTCGCGTTGCTGGGGCATGACTAAGGCCCACCCTGACGTCGAGCACGGGTCGCAACTTCCCGAACATCAAAAACATCCTACCTCAGAACCATCTCCATCTCCCACGCGCGTCCCATGGAGTTATAGCCCGACACGCCATCATCCGACCGCATCCATCACTTCTCGACCCCATAAGTGATCGCGACCATGTCGTCCAACAAACGGGGAAATATCTTTGGCCAGGGAAAGCCTGAGCGCCCCTACGAAGAGCGCGAAGATGTCGCGGATGTGCCCCAGAAGGCAACAGCAGCACAGTTAGCATCTCGCAAGTAAGTTGTCCTTGACGAGTCCTCACTTTGGCTTCACGCCACTTCCATTTCGCGATGGTCTTCTTTGACGGTCGCGTGCTAACTCTTTGTTTCCAGAATCAAGACCGCGAAAGCCCGTCGACCAGCAGGCGCTTCCTCCGTAAGTACCCAAAACAACACAACACGCTCTCCACCGCCCCATCAACCGCTGTGCCAACATGCCGGCAGACCGCTACACCCGCAAAGGGCGATACGAGATGCGTCGTAAGGAGGAGGCTTTGGCTAACGTACGCGCTCAGGGTCTCTCACAGAGCGCAAACTTTGGCGCACCACAACAGAACGCCTTCAGCTTCGGTGCCTCCGCGCCCGCCCCCGCGAACAACGGCGCGAACGGCTTCGGTAGCAACAATGCTTTCGGCGGCGGCGCGACTAATAGCTTCCCACCCGCGCAGCCAGCTGCCCCTAGCAACACTTTTTCAAGCTCATCCTTCCCAGCTTTTGGAGGTAGCAACCAGGGCACAGGCTTCAATCCCACACCGCCATCGTCTGCGGGCTTCAACTTCACAGCTGGAGGTGCAAACCCGTTTGCGAACGCGAACTCGGCACCTGCGACCAACGGAAACACGCCTGCGCCAGCCTTCGGAGGATCGTCTATATTTGGTAACGATGCTTCAACACAGGGGAATCCCTTTGGTGGCCTAGGCCAGAACAGCACCACGAGCTCGGCGCCCTCGGGCGGCATGTTCGGTACTACCAGCTCAACTCCCTCCGGAGGAATGTTTGGAACATCCAGCGCCGCGCCGTCAGGAAGTATGTTCGGTACATCGAGTGCTGCACCAACAGGAGGCATGTTCGGAACATCAAGCGCCGCACCTTCAGGCGGTATGTTTGGGACGTCAAGTGCTGCGCCCTCTGGTGGTATGTTTGGAACCTCGAGTGCTGCCCCCAGTGGCATGTTTGGCACTACGAGCGGCGCCCCGAACGCTACGAGCACTCCCGCTCCTGCATCTACGCCCTTCACATTTGGCGCCTCCACTACGTCAGCCTCGAACACGGCAAGCACACCAGCCACGAGCGGCCTGTTCAGCGGGTTTGGCAACTCAGCACAGCCAGCGGCGTCACAAACAAGCACGTTCACGTTCGGTGCTAATGCGCAGAAGGAAGAGGCGCCCAAGCAGTCGCCTGCGCCCGCAAACAACATCTTTGGTGGCTTCGGTTCCAACGCACAGAAGAGCGAGAGCAACTCAGAGACTCCGAAGCAAAGCAATCCTTTCGGGGGTTTGGGTACAAGCGCGCAAGGCACGCCAAATGCTACCGCGACCGCTCCGGCATCGAATCTGTTCAACTTCAGCGCAACTGCACAGAAGTCTGACAGCGCAACATCGACTGCACCCTCGACCAACCTTTTCGGAACCACAAGCTCTGCCCCTAGCAATCCGTTTGCGAATCTCCCAACAACAGAAAACAAATCCTCCACTGAAACAGCAGGTACATCATCGAACTTATTCGGAAGCCTTAAGAAACCTGAGGAGTCTCGCAGTACAGTATCGACAGATGCGCCCAAACCAAATCCATTCGCTGCACTTCCAAAGCCGGACGACACGCCTGCTGCAACAGGTAGCAGTTCCGGATTTAGCCTATTTGGTGCGAACAAGGATAGTGGTGCAGCAACAGTGAAAGCTCCCGAAGCACCAAAGTCCAGCCTGTTCCAGCCATTCAGCACACCGCAGCCGGCAAAGACGACCGACGTGGAGAAATCACAGGGCGGAATGTTCACTGCAGCTCAACCCAAGACTAGCTCTGGTATCTTCTCTCAGACATTTCAACCCGAGAACAACAACTCGAGCAACTTGTTCAAGAAGCCACAACCAACTTCAGAAGCGCCCAAGGCCACGCCCACCCAATCCACCGAGGCTTCCAACCCCTTCGCCTCTTTGTCCAAGCCTTCCACCGATCGCCCCAACTTGTTCAGCGCTTCAAAGGAACTTTCGCAACCCTCTCCTGCGCCCGCCCTGTCAAATCTCAACGGAGATTCGCAAGCACTCGAGATGCCCAAGGTCCCCAAGGTGCACGTTCCGAAGGAGTGGGCTGTTCCAGGTGCCATTCGTGCACAAAGCAGCGATGGCCTACTGAAGCAAATATCTGATTTGACCGCCCAACTTCAGGTGTTGAACGACAAGTACCGACACCAGCTAAGCAGCCTTCCCCTCACAGCGGATTGGTCGAGTGTGTCTCTCTGGCACTACCAACATGCCGCGGATATAAAGAAGAAGATTGATAACGCGAAGAAGCAACGCGCAGCTGCACGAGGCATCACTGGCAACGAATCAAGCCTGTCTACGAAGCGCAAGGTCAGCGACGAGAGCCCCGAAGTCCGTCGTGACCCATCTCCCTCCAAGCGAGCTCGCGCAACCGAAGCGCCTTCCAGTCCAACTCCTCAGTTGTCGGGTTCTACGCCGAAGCTCAGTGCGCCAGCAACAGCAACATCGAACATGTTTGCCAAGGCAATCGGTAACAAGCCTTCTACACCTGCGGCAACATCATCGACAAGTCTCTTTGCGCCAAAGACGGCCGAGAAGCCCGCTACGGAACCCTCAAAACCAGCTGCACCAACTACAGGATTCGTCTTCACACCGTCAGCGCCGACTGCTAACGGTGCAGAGACCTCCGGCTTCAAGCCAAGCTTTGGTGGCAGCTCCACAGGTACCTCAGCCTCTACTGGATTCAAGCCAAACTTCGGTGGTAGTTCGACCAGTACATCGGCTTCTGCTGGGTTCAAGCCAAACTTTGGTAGTGCTCCAGCGGGTGGCTTCATGGCCCAGTTCACCAAGACCGCAAAGACTTACGAGGAGCTGGCCGCAGAACGCAAGAAGAAGGCTATGGATGAGGACTACGATTCCGACGATGAAACCAAAGAGGAATGGTCTGCTAGGTACGACAAGGCTGAGGCTGAGCGCCTCGCTAAGGAGAAGGAGATTGCCGCCTCAACTAAATTTGTCCTGCCTGGTTCTGAACCAGCTGGTAGCACGTCGCCGAAAGACAATCCGTTTTCTGGTTTTTTGAAGCCTAAGAGCGATGCACCTGCTCCAAAAGCTGCCAGTCCCGCGCCATCTGCAGGTAGTCAATCAGTTTTCGATGCTTCTGCCTCGCAAACGTCATCGCCCAACATTTTCGGCCATCTGTCAGGAGCATCATCCAACAACCAAGAAGAGTCTGACGAAGATGATGCCGAACAACAAGACACTGTTGGCTCAGCAGATCCAGCTACGCCTACACAACGCGCATTTGGCGAGTCGGAGACAGAGTCTGAAGACACCCAGAAGCAGGATACAGCTCCCAAGGGCAGTTTACTCTCAAGGATAACCAGAGATAATGACTCCGAATCAGAAAAGGAGAATAGTGGCGCCTCTTCCATGTTTGGCCAAACCAACGGTACTACCACTCCGGCCAACAAGCCCTTCCAGTTCTTTGACTTTGGTGCTGCATCCAAGACAGCGCCACCAAAGTCCGATACGTTTGCTGGCGATCAGACCTTCAAGGTCGGTACTCCGATCAAGTTTGGCGGAGCTCCCGCTACTGAGAAGAAGGACGGTCCAAAATTCAACTTCCAGCCTGCTACACCTGCAGCGGGCGAGTTCTCAACCACGCCAGCGAAGCCACCACCTGCCTCGATTTTCAACTTCGCTCCGTCAACAGGTGGATCGTCCCTTTTTGCACCGTCAGGTGGCAACTCTGTGACCTCGTCTGTGTTTTCTTCGCGCGCTGCCACGCCTCTATCTGAAGCTGGTGAGACTACTGCAGCATCTGCAGCAGAGGACGACGAAGAAGGTGGCAAGCAAGAACAGATTGACTTGACCAAGTTGACTGAAGACGAGCTTGAAACTTACGACATTATCTTCCATACCGAAGTCGTACTCGCCAAGCACCAAGAGGGAGAGAAGGGTTGGACGAACATTGCCAAGGGCCCTTTTTGGATTCTCAAGGACAAGCAAACGGGCAAGTGCTCTGTTCGAGTCCGTATCCCGAGCGGCGCCACACCGCTCAATTACCAGATTCTACCCGCGCTGCCCGCCACTGTCACCGGTGGTAGCAAGAAGATGGTCATGGCGACCAAGCCCGCCAAGGAAGGCGGCTTGCAGTCCGTTCTTTATGCTGTCAAGACGCCTGAAATTGCACAAGAATTGGCAGCGAAGTACACGGAGTCGGTTCCTAAATCACAGTAGACGACATTTTCTACTTTGACCTCTATACACACTGTATGGATCGCGGGTTGAGTGTGTATTTATTCGTTTTCACTCACCGGTTTCCTAACCTCCTTGCATTAGTTTGTTTGCCTACCCTGCCCCTGTTTTTACCTCCAAACACACATGTGTATGTTTTTCAACCAAGATTGGCGAAAATGTTTTTTGTATCTTTCCCCAGCGACTACTTTCTTCTTCGCCCTTTTCTTGGGGATGTTGGAACATCATCCAGATAGATGAGCACTGCATAACAACGGCGTTGGTGGCATGGACCCCATATTGATTTGTTTCTTGCAAAGCGACGACGGATGGAAAATGGGATCTTGAACCTTCATGTAGTATACTATGAGCTTTGTTTCTTTAATATGCATTGAGCGCATTAGTCGCGCTATCTTCACAACATTTCAACGTCCAACTATGCCCATGATGAGTGTGTGCGATTTGCCATGTATTCTCTCCTTCCTACACTCTGAATTCATAAAATTGACGCCTTACTTCTATCCTTAAACGCATGAAAAGGAGCTCGCCACATCGTCAAAGTCGTAATCCGTGAGATTTACAGGTCCTGGACCGAGAATGTTCGAATTATTCTTCTCGACGTACAGATTTCGTCCGATACAATTCACATCCCTACATCACCGTCAACGGAACGCCGATCTAGCTCCTAGAAAGTGCATTGATGAAGACGTTCTACTTACTCGTATAAGAAACAACCATTTGCAAGACCAGAAGCGACAAAAGCCCAGCTTGCTTGCTTGTCAATGTCAGCGCCAAGGTTCTGGCACTTCCAGCGATCTACAACCCAAGATTTGGATAGGCCTTGACCATTTGTCTCGCTGGAGAGGAGAAAGACGACGGAAGACAGGGCGGGCGTAATGTGGAACAGCAGTGTAGCTGCGGTGATAGTCTTCATGATAGATAGGGGTAATAATCGGGCAGTCTAGAGGCTATAGGAGGATTTTAGAAACCAGAACAAACTCAATGGCGTAGTGATGTTGAAGAAGAATGTCCACAGAGTATAGTGGGACGCTCCCAGGATACCCTTTTCGCAGGCAATATGTACCGGATAAAGCAATCTAGCTCTGACCAACTTTCTTCCCTTGTCTAGTTCTTATCCTGTTTCCCGTATAAGAGGCGTCCAATATTGGGCTACATCAATAGTAGTCATTGCAACGATGATGCATGTAAAGTGTAACATTGGTTGTTGAGCGTTACGTGGTAGCGACCAATTGTAGTTGTTACGTCGGGTGTCAGATGCTACGTCAGGCGAACCGGTCAATAGTCAGCTCATACAGCTAGAACCGTCACAGACCCAACAATATGACTTGACATATCCTGTAGGATGCTGCGAAGCTTGTGGCGAAGTTAACCAAGCTGACGAGTACTTGGCTTACAGGCAATTCTTCGCCGCGACTGAATTTATTTGATCAGGCAATCGCTCTGTAGTATTGCAGTAACGTACAATGTTTACTATTCTATAGAGAGGTTGCATTATGGATGGATTTGTACTACCATCGCAGTTGGTTCTGGCGTGGCAAGGCTGAAAGTCACGATGATGCATCTATCCAGCAGCGGGTCTGGTCTTGCTGTCCGTGCGTCGTAGACGCATTCCCCCCAGCCTCCACTAGCGTGCTCTGGTCGCATCTGTCATCGATATTCACCCTCGACGCGCCAAATGTCGCCCTGAAGTGCGCATACCTGGCGCAAGTATACAGCGCAGCCAAATTCAGCGCGGGAACCACCAGACTCGTTTCAAGATGGACGCGCCATCTTCACAACTCCATCTCGAAGTTCGCGACTCGGTCGTTCGCGCTCTTGCAACGCGCAGGCCTATCCTCCACCATCTAAATGCCGATACATCCTGGCTACTCCAAATACCACGCCCAGCGAACGCCGTCAAACATGGAAGTCGCATATACTACAATGTTCTGATTGACCCGTGGTTCGTTGGCGGGCAAAGCGATGTCGCGAAATGGTTTAGCCAACAATTCCACGCGACGGAGAGCGCTGTTAAGAGTGTTGCCGAAGTGGAGGAGCTGGCGCGACAGGTGGAGATATTAGCTGGAGGCCTACGAATGGGTAGGAAGGGAAGGAAGAGAAACATAGAGGAGGTAGAGGAGGAAAGCTATGTGGATTGTGTGGCTGTTAGCCATGAGTTCACAGACCATTGTCATAAAGAGACACTTCTAGAGGTACATCGTGATGTACCTGTTCTCGCGACAGAGGTATGTATCTCCCGCTATAACTTTCGAGAGATGCTGTGCTGATAAGCCCCACAGCAAGCAGCCAACCTAATATCCTCCTGGAACCACTTCCGTACAGTGATAACAACACCCACCTTCACCGACAACGCCGACTGGCACGACTACAGCCTCTCCCCTCTCCCTTCGTGGCTCAGCATATCGCGTCTTACGGCGACTGGAGATTCTCTCTACTACCACTCTGCGCTCCTCATTACCTTCGCTACACATCCCTTCTTATCGACAGCCACGCCTAAGAAACGTCTCTCAAGTCTCAGTATAAACGGTGATGGAGCAGAGGACTTCTCATCCAACATCAATGGCGAAGAAGCGGAGTGTGTAATCTACACGCCACACGGCATCCCCCACGAGGCCCTCAGCCCAATCGCCAAAGCCGATCCACCGCTACATACACTCGCTTTCCTCCATGGACTCCACGACGTATCCATATCTTCCGCTCAGCAGCTCAATCTCGGTGCCAAGAACGGTGTCCTTGCACAGCGCATATTACGAGCGAAATACTGGGTCGCAACACACGATGAAGTTAAGAAGGGCGGAGGTTTCATAAGCTGGTTCCTACGTAGAAAGGTCTGGACAGTAGAAGACGCGTTGAAGGAAGCAAGGGCAGATGATAAGGGTGAGTTTACGGATGTGAGGTTCCAGGACATGAGGAACGGAGAGAGTAGAGTCTTGGAATGAATGTGAATATTTTGAGGATGGACACGAGGGATATAATTGTAAGTAATTTGTGATCTTAGTCCTGAGTATATACCCAATTCGCGAAGCTGGGCCTGAAAGGACAGCAATCTAAAACATTTCTCCCATCATCGACGTTGCAAGACGAACTGCCAGTACAATGTCCTACAACCGATCGGGGAAATACTGTCATAGGCACAAATCATATTTACTTCACATAATGTCACAAAACAAACATGAGCACTACAGCTCCTCCAGCTCTCCTATTTCCATCTTTTCTTGCAGAATTCTTTGTTCTTCTTTGGATCTTTTCTTTTCTGCTGTCCACTCATTCTGGATATTTGGAGGAGGCAAGGTACCAGGAGGTGGGTTGAACTATTGCCTTTAGCAGTGTTAGACAACGACAGGGATGACGAGAATATCTCCAGTGTACTTACTCCTTCAACGTATACCTACCATCAACACTGTGTCGAAGATCTTCAGTCTCTTGGCCCAACTCCGTGTGCTGGTTGTGATACTCTGTCCGCACTTCGAATAACATAGGTTGTGTATCGTATATATCTTTGCCCGTCAATTCGTTTGGAGAGCTGGCAGCCAACACATGATCCTGCAGATATCGTCAGGGTCTACTGCATGCCGGCATTTGCGATCTCCTGGACGCTTCGTCTTCGCGAAGAACTGTCTTGGTGATCATTTGTGCTGCGATAACCTAAAAGATGGTGCCTTAGTAAACTACATAGGTTGCCGAGCGATGTCCAGAGGTCAAAAGATGTTGCGATACAGACATCGAGACGAGATGGAGATGTTGTAGGTTTACATTGCGTGCGGCGGCATATGACGTACACAGGCTTGTGTATGGATTGCCCTCTGCCATATGTTGATGCTTCAAATGTACTGAGGTCTTCCTACTTTGTCTAAAGATATGTCATATCAAACACACTCAAGGTGATACAGCGTCATGTGATTACCCACTCAGTCATCCGGCGTTGCTCTGCACTCTTCCACTTCCGCAAAGAAGCTCACAACAATCATCTACACCAATATCATTTGTTCAGAAACAGCGACTATAAAAAAACTCCGAGTTCTTACTCATTACCTTCAATCTATTTACACCCCTGGAATACTTTTTAAGCCTCTCGCAGAAGTTCTCGGTGCCCTCCACATCGACAAAAGGAGAACCTATATGTTAGAATGGGACAGAGTGCTCTATAAACTTAATACTACGCAAGACGTCATTGCAGAGCCTTTCCAGCTATTTCCGTATCATATAGTAAAGTGCATGACATTAACCACATCAGGTGCGTGAATGAGCGGTCGTGCAATCGGTAGCCCATGTCAGGAAAATATAGAACTTCCTGCGGGTTGACACCACCATGTTGTATAGGTTAGGATTACGGTCACGCCTTAGAAAAGAGACGGTAGAGGAACGTAGGAGATGTTTGGTCATTTCTTGCTCAAACCACTGCCAGAGTGTCCTCGGCCAAGGCTGTTTTGAACTGATTCATCTGCGGTTTTTTCTCTCTTCTTTTGCTTGTCCATTCACTTGAGATCACACACCTTCTTAGATACCATCTAACTGGCCTAGTTATCAGTCCAAAGATTGCTTGCCTCGGTAAGGAGCGCGTAATCTGCAGCTGAATTTCTGACGCTAATCGACCTATCGAATAACTCGTCTTAGTTTCTCTACAAGTTGTTCCTCACTGATTAGTGAGTGGCTTCACGCACACCTCAGTCCGCTTTTGTGTAAGAACGACTCAGCTGGTTCCAGTGGACAAGTTTTTTAATCGACGCATGACTTGTAGCTGAGCCCTCTTTGTGGAAGAAAAGTTTGTATGATCCTCCAATATGCCCAGGCATAATTCTTGACCCTGCGCGTTTACAACTACGGTATTGAGATCCCATGATGTGTCACTTGAGCCAAATCAACGCAACTTCGCGTTGCGGAAGCTAAAGGAAGCCACAATGCACGCACGTTTCGTGATACACATTCATGATGTGATGATGTGATGATGTGAATGAAAAGCGCACGCGCACTGATACGAACCAGACTATCGATTGCGCGGGAAGACTGCCGGATTCGGGAAGGTCGCTAACTACACGATTACGGGTTGTATGTGTATATTGGTTATGCATGCATAAGCGCGGCGTGAGCTCGTGTTTTTCAGCGCTTTCGCACAAGTGTGTGTACAGGATAATATTGATCAAGTGTCTTGGTGTGAGTGTATGTTTGGACTTGAGTGAAATGAGCTGCAACTGGTAAAGTGCTTCAAAGCCACCACATCACGACGAAAGATAAGCAAGTACTTTTGAAGGAGTGACAAAAAGTTGGGTCGTAAGATGTGTCTACTACTAAACTCGTGCCTATCGTAACCATTCTATACCAGTTGTTCGTTGAATATCAACAGTTGAAGTATGAGAAGAAATTCCAAACGCATTAAAACAACCAAATTTGGACAGAAACGCTTGAGCAATGCAAGGCGAGGAAAGCAAGGCCAAAGTTCCTACGTTACTGTTTCGACACCTCTGCCGCTCGTAATTGTTGCTTGAGATAAGAAGTGAAAGTGCTCAAGCTACCTGAGTAGCTTAGTAGTGGGGGTAGGCGACGTAGCCAGTGGGTTGAGGGGTAACCTTCGAGGATGAAGGAGTGTTCACCGGGTAGGGTACAGCGGAGCTAGAAGGGGTGGCAGCAGGGTACTCCTTAGTCGAAGAAGAGGGAGTGGCGGCGGGGTATCCCTTAGTAGAGGAAGAAGGTGTGGATGCTGGGTATTCCTTGGTGGAAGACGAAGGGGTAGGGTACTCAGTGGGGTAGGCCTTAGATGAGGAAGGGGTGTGAATCGGGTAGGGCGCCGACGAAGCAGTGTAGTGGATCGAGCTACCGGAGGATGGGTAAGGGGGCTTGACCTCGGAAGAAGGCTTGGGACCAACAGGGTAGGGCTTGACGGAGGATGGCTTGGGGCCCTCCGAGTAGTGCTCCGCGGAGGAGGATGGCTTAGTACCCTCGGGGTAGACAACAGAGGGGGCTGGGCCAGGAGTGTAAGCACCACCAGCACCAACGGTGACGGTCTTGGTCTCAACCTCATGTACAGTCTTGGTGACAGTCACTGGGGCAGGGCACTGAGGACCGCCAGGAGTACCAGCGGGGTATGTTGGTGCAGGGGCCTCAGGAGTGCCAGCGGAGTAAGTCGGCTTAGGAGCCTCAGGAGTACCGGCAGGGTAGGTTGGCTTAGGAGCCTCGGGGGTGCCAGCAGGGTAGGTCGGCTTGGGAGCCTCAGGAGTTCCCGCTGGGTAAGTTGGCTTGTGTCCCTCAGGAGTCTCCGCTGGGTAGACGGGCACGTCAGATGTAGGCTTCGAGCCGTGAACAGTCGAGGTCACGGTGACAGTGGAGTAGGTTGGGGTCAAGTATGTTGAGTAGATGACACTGGAGTGCTCTCCCTGACCAACTGAAGTGCTGCATGGCACCCAAGATGTGTGGGTGGATGTAAGCGTAGTGGTGTAGTCGGAGTGGGGGTACTCGGAAGCCGATGAAGGCTTGGGGGTAGGCTTGACATAACCAGTTCCGTAAGAAGAGACGTGGTAGACGGGAGTGGAAGCACTGTAGGCTGGGGTTGAAGCGTGGTAAACCGAGGAGCTCTCGGCGGGCTTGGAAGCACTGTAGATGGGGGTAGACGCGCTGTAGACGGGGGTCGAGGCGTGGTATGCCGATGAGCTCACTGCAGGAGTAGATGCGCTGTAGACAGGAGTGGAGGCATGGTAAGCTGAGGAGCTCTCAGCAGGCTTGGAAGCACTGTAGATAGGAGTGGACGCGCTGTAGACGGGAGTGGAAGCGTGGTAAGCGGATGAGCTCGCTGCAGGGGTAGACGCATGGTAGACGGAAGAGCTTGCTGCGGGAGTGGATGCGCTGTAGGCAGGAGGGGTCGACGCCTCATAGACTGGCGTGCTAGCTGGGTAGTGGACCTGAGAGCTGGGGGTGGATGCTTCGTACACCTTGGAGGAGGCCGGAGTCGAGGCGTGGTAGGCACTGGGAGTTGATGCTTCGTATGGCTTTGATGAAGTTGGAGCAGGCTGGTATCCAGTAGGAACAACAGCTGAGTAGCCGTATTGAGGCATGGCCAGGGCCGAGCCGACGAGAGTAGCAGCAACGTAAGAGTAACGCATCTTGATAGTGTTCTTGATTCGATCTTTTGACGATAGTTCCGAAGGTTGTTGAGTTGGGATTAATTATTATGAGGCTTTTGTGATTGCACTGTAGCGAGTGTTGGTTGGAAAGCGAAGGTGAATGGTTGGATGAAGATAGACATGAAAGATGAGATGGAATGAAAGTTATATACCATAGTCTCCAGACTTGTCCGTATGCTTCCATGATGGCTGACGTCGATGCCGTCCCCACTTTGTCAACACGAAGTAACATCTCGCCATGTGAAGAGCTCCGCTCTACGTACGAGCTGTCGATAGCGTGAACATCCCGAAAAGTAACATCAGCGAAAAATTCGCAGGGGTTGAGCGAGTAACGGCACAGCCCTACCGCACGTTAATGCCAGCGTTGCCGGGATGAGCGACCGTTGTGGACTATATTTGCATCACGCTTTAACCATAATGGGATTAGCATATCACCAGCTACCAGTCACGAAAACCGGAGCGCTCGGAACTCAGCCTTCACCACACCACCGTCATCTCCGCCCAGCTCATCGTCCGCCAGGCCTCAACAACTCATGTTCGCGAGATCGCGCATTCGGCGACACTTCCGTGGTTGCTATGCTACCCAAGTACCGCTCCCAAAGATAGCCGGCCACGTTCCTGAAGATCCGCCAGGGCCGTAGCCTCGGGCGCCCCACCAGTCCGAGCCTTGCTTCCTCCGAGTTCCACCTGCGCGCATTATGGAAGCTATACTCGATCGGGTCTATGATAACAGACATTCAATGAGCCGACGAGCTCTGTACTGTCGCCTTCCCTCGTTGTCTAGTCAATACTCCTTCACTCCTTCGCTAGCAACGCCACATATGCTGACTTGCAGTTACGAGATCCCGGTCTTACTCTTTCAGGTACTGTACGCGGGAAACAAGCAATGCGCTGATGGTCCGTGGCGTTCGTCTCTCTCCGACCTGACATGAACGTTGCACCGCTGCTACCAAGCGGCCATGAGTCTTAGCATCGTACGTCGCTCTTACAAACAAATGTGGCAAACTTACCCAAGACTGGATACTATGGAAACAGTGTGGCTGGACCTGCAGTGGTCTGCGCGATCAAAGCCGTGCACGCTAATACGAAGTGCAAGCGTTGGGTTGGGCAAGTGCCCTCTCTCCACTGCGCTCCTCGTATTTTTCGACAGTCAGCCAGTAGAATTCCCTTTCTCAAAAATACACCAGACTATTACCAAGCCTGAGCCAGATGTCATCTCAGCCACATACATCAGACATGGCGCTAGTGCAGGTTGTGCCTGTACCTCGACATCTCTCCCCTGTTTGTAGAACCCGGTGGAAGCTTATTTCCCCTAAGCTTCTTACCGATCGGAGCAAGCGGAGCACGACCACGATTTCGACACTTATTACTAGAACGTTCTAATGCACCGACAGACCTTTTCTCGGATTTCCGTCTCTGCTGTTTCTACAGTCACGTTCGCGGTAAAAACTACTGTCTATCGAAAGTTGACAAGCAGAGCAGCTTCTATACATGTTTGGACTAGACACTTACGACCTGAACAGCTGAACATGGCTGAGCGATCGCAGCTTACCATGGTCATTCTTCTTGCACCACTCAACTCTTTTTTTTTTTTGCCCACAAGATATGTACTTTGTACAAAGAAACGTGCGCGATTGTGATGCAATGCGATGATAACGTCCTGTTGAACAGCAGAGAATGTACCTAGATCGCTTTGACCGCATAGAACCTGTGTGCAGCGTGCATCCGCTGGATGCACAACATGTATGCGCTCTGGGCGCAACGCTCGTCATCAAAATGCCGCAACATCAGCAACTCAGTGCACTATCAGGTGAGAGTTTTGCTGATACGAGCAACAGCGGAGGTACTCCCATGAATTGATGCCATTAATAGCACCGGATGGTGGTCTAGCCGCGCTAGGCTCTCGCTCCAGATCTGGGCCCCGTTACTGACCAGTATACAGAGACAAGACTGCCGGCACACTGCGGTTGAGCGCGACGATTGGATGAGTCCTGACCACATCAAGGGAGGAACAGCGATAGATGCATCGTGGTCATCTCGTCTGTCATTACCAGATGTAGCGAAGCTGAACAACTCTTTGCAGTAGATACCTAAACCTGATTACCCTCAACACATAACTTGTAGCGATGACGACAGGCCCGGTAGCCCCGCGAGACACGAAAAACGCCGCCTAAGGTTGCAACATACCCACAAATTCCGGAGAAACCCAGTCACATCACTTTCGTTAACTTGGATACCAGTGTGGGGCGTAATCGTTGTTCGATCTTCCAGTAATCTTCGCAAATGGAACAATAAGCGTTGACCTGCTGAATGCTAATAAAATTTTGGACGCTCGGCTTGATTTGCTGGTAGTGCCTCCATCGGCGTCACTCTGCCTTTCAAAAACGAACTGGCAGCCGCATATGCTAAGCTAAGAAGCAGTAGTAGAGGCTACCATCCGCTCAACAAGAATTTCTACAGCTACGCCTAGGCTGTCTAATAAGGTTAAGACGGGATAATCATCCGAAAGAGCGCAAAGTGTCCAATGGAGGTCACTGCTGAGGGCTGGTAGTTCGTCAAGGATCCCACTGTTCATGCAGTTGAACATGAAGGTGAGGCGACTGTGGATCTCGATCTCAAGTGCTTCGAGAAGCGAAGGAGGTACGGCCGATGCAGGCGCAATTTCAAAGTATGCTTCCTGGCTGGGTTGAACGAATGTAAGCTCTGGCGTAGTGTTCCAGATGGCATTGGTAAACATATATTCGTAGTCTTCTATGTCTGTTGTTTTCAGAGGTTCAGGGATGCAATTTGAGTTCGAGATCGGCATCGCTGGTGATTCAGAGTCATCGTCGTCTAGGAAACCTAAACGACGACTTTCCAGCGGCTTGACGAATCCTCGATGATTGGCAAAGTCCAGAGAGTCTCCCGAAGAAGACGAGCCGGAACATGGTGATTCTTCCTCCGAGATTATGGGCAATAGCTGACGATTAGGTAAGAGTTGAGTGGCAACTCTTAATTGCGGCATCTGACGCTGGTGTCGAGACCTATTGCTAGAATAAAGTCCATACGGTTTACATCGTTGGCGCGCGGTGGGCTGGAGACTGAGTTCAGGCTGAACGGGTGCTGGTGTCCGAGAAATGCCTGAATACAAGTCGGGGCTAGATCTGTTTGGGTTCAAGCTATTTCGTAGTGGCAGCAAGGTTGCACAACCTTCTGCTGTTGGGTGAAGATAGACCAATTCAGCAAGGCCGGTGAATGACTGGCCGTGGTTCTTCTTCCTCCATTGCCAATAGTTGGTTCAAGGCTGTATAAGCGACAGACTGATCTGTGTCAGTGTCGACATATTTTAGTTTTGGGTGGTGATTCAATGACAAACTTTCTGCGTCCGGATCAGAGACATCAGAATCACTCTCGTTGTCGCATATAAATGATGCAGCGTTAGAGCTAGACGGGTACAACATCTGGTCAATTACTTTGGAGGCTTTCACATCTTGTGGAGTGGTGTCAAAGTATCCACAGTCAAGAGGTAGCACTTCCGAAATGCCTGTATGAACTTCGTATACGTCAAACATGTCCGCATTGACGAACTCATCTATAAGCTGAGATATGTCTTCTGTCGTGGGGTACATGTGTGAGAGACTGCAGTCGACGTCATCGTCGTCGTTATTAGCAAGCATGAAGTTCTCGCCAGGCATGCGAAGACTACACATCTCACCATCTAAACATGAACACTCGCCATCTTGACAATCATCAAGGAAGAATGTAGTGGCATAATACAGATCTTCGATGCTGTGGTCATACTGGATAGTTGCGGAGCGAGCAGTGATATTGCGAAGATGATCTAATCCTGGGAGCATTGGAGAACCGGTGGTGTATCGAAGGATGGGGTCGCATTCAAGTCGCCAGGGTCTTTCGGTCGCAGTCCCCCCTGCGAAGATACTACTTAGTTCTATGTTCTCATCGTATGTGGATGGAGACACTGCATCGAAAAGTAGCTCTGCATATTCCGATGCTCCCGAGAAAGAAGGGCAGTCCGGCTGCTCGCTCTCCTGGGTCGGATCTGAAATGGCAGCAGACCTTATCCGCGTCTTTGTCGTGGAAGAACTAATCATCTCATTTGGTACATGATCAAATGAGTCAAAGCGCTCCAACGAGCGCAGTAGATGTTTAGCAGCAACTGTAGCCTCACATTGCTCTGTGTAAACTTCTTCTGCATCTGTGATTCCAGTCAGCACCTCTGAGTGGCCATGTTCATCTCTCGCCTCTCCAGTGATGGGTGGATAAGGAAATCCGTATATAGGCATAAGGCACAAACATGTCGACGGTAAATTAGATTTCCCAAATGGGGTTCGAGCTAGACGCCTACCAGAGACTGCATATCCAGATGCAGCGGAGAGACCCATATTGAGAGTTATGATTCAAAGAAAGTGGAATTATTGGTGCATATCAAGCTCAGAGTTCCTGCTTACATTGATCACCGGGATCACTTGAATTACGGTATGCGTATGCAAAGTTGCTTGTTGTTGACGAAGCTGAACCAGCGCCAGTATCTCAGTCTGTGAGATGTAGGACAGATCGAACCCCGTCAGAGGATTCCTTATAGTCAGTCAATCTCGTACGCTGTACAGTCTATGGAAGTGCACTGTGTGGTATGTTAGCTTTCAGGCCAAGAAAATACCACAGCGTTGTGGGGTAATATTTCTGTAAACATGAGTAAGCCTACAACATTCACCATGCCTGTGGTAGGGTGAACAGTTAAAGTGCGTTGATGGTTCTTCGTGTTTTAGTAAGGTTTAGCTTGTGAGCAGTCTTATAGTATGCTCTAGTTATAAATAGGTACAAAGAAGTGAAAGAGAGGAGAGTGGACACATGATCATATACCATGTGCGAAGACCATCCTCGACGATGATGACCACTGTATCGTGAATGCATCACGAAGCCTACAGGTTGATTTGCAGACCCAATGTAGCATCTACAGTGGCTTTCCCGTAGAAAGGCTCCGTACCTGCGTTACCCACGTTGACATAAGTGCTGTCCTTGAAAACACCGACCTTGACAAGCGCTTCTAGCCACTCTTTTAGGTCTCCCTGGAAAGGACTCTGAAACATCTTATCAGGCAGCAAGCTTGAGACTGTAATACCGGTATCCTCGTTCTTACCCTGGTACAACTTCCAGCTCGTACCGAACAAGTTGGGGATTGTGGCTTTCGCACCAGCAGGCCATCCGATGGGTAGTTGGCCACCAGTATATTCAAGCCATAGCATGAGCTCTTGGGCGGAAGAAGATGTGGAGTCGCCTTTAGTATCGGAGGTCATAAAGTCGAAAGCAATATTGCCTTTGTAGGCGGTGGTATTGGTGCGCGTCCATTCGTATGTTGCAGGAATTGATTTGATAGCGGAGAGCTTTGTCTCGAGATTTTGGGTCAGGCCGACGAAAGTGTAACCCTTGGGCACATTGTCGCTAGACTCAGGTCAGTGACAAGATCATACAAACCTTGGTAATCATGAAATCGAGTGTACATACGTGGCTTTTACATAATCGATGTCAGTAACCGCACTCCACTTGATCTTCTTGTTCCCATCTGAACCAGTCGATACGGAGTCGTATGCTGTGCACATGCTTCCCTTGGTTTGTGCCGAGTTGTAGAACATGTTGTACACGATCCATGGGGTATCAGTCAGAACGACGTTCTGAGCCGTGCCACACATCTTGATTGGTGCCTGTGTCGCCGAGTTGGAGATGGTGACGCCTTGGGGAGATGGCGCTGCCAGAGCTGGAGCGGCGGCCAGCGCAGCGCTGAGAAGTGCAAGGGTGAGCATTCTTGAAAGAGCGTGATATAGGTAAACGAATGACTGGATGAGAAATGTGACGACGAGTGGCTTGATGTGGCTATCCTGATGGTCGTGATCTGATACTTATCAAAAGACTCAAATGATGTGTTATTTCCCGAGCGCGGGAACTAAGGCGGTGAAACGCGCTATGTATGTAATCGAAACGAACCATCAACGGGTAGGTCCGCCGCATCCGATCGCAGCGCAAGCCTAGAACGATATGTGATTCTATGCGTAACCCCTCAGTAAGTTGCCTCCGTGATTGGTGGAAGTTGTGGTCGTTCCGCCGAGTTTGAAGGGATTGGACGACAAGGCATGAGGCAGCCACAGTCGCATGCAGCCCCAGATCGAAGGGCTAGGTAGTTACGCGTCAGCGCAAAGAAATTGCGATATGAAGCCGGGGCTAAGCACTCGCTCGGGGAAATCCTTTACGATGAGTAATTGCTCAGACTCCACAGTGAAGATCCATCTTCTTGCTGATACCTGTGGAGTCGTAAATCTCTCAAGCTTTCCAATAGCTGAAGCTTCCAAGCTCACAACCCCTGGCTTCCTCTTCCGCTGCCGCGAAGGCCTTGGGGTTCTTCCTTTTCTCTTGTCTGAGCGTATGCTTCTCCCAATCTTTCATCACCTGTAATGTTGCCACAACCACCGCTGAATCCACAGTTGCCGAACGAATATGAACCGATTCATCAGGCAAAGACCCTCCACTTCCATCACAATATCCATCCCAGAAGCAGTGATCTGCAACGATACTGCCATAAAGCGGATCCGCGATGTTGCCCATGGCAACAAAGAGAGCATGTCTTAGTGTGTCATACCTGGAGCCGTGAATGGACGATACCTTGGTGCTCGTAACCCACATGTAGGCGCATCCGTCTGGGCCGATGAAGCGTAGGGAATCATAATTAAGCGCATGCACGTAGGTTGTCAAGATGGATCTGGCATTTGGACCTCCATAACTCAAGACTTCAGACTTGCGGAGATTAGTCCTGGGGTCCAGCTTCAGATCATAGTTCCAAATAGCTTGATGCGCTTTGGAAACCTTTTTGCTCGATTCAGTGTTCTCGTCGGGACATGTCATTGTCCATGAAAACTTGGGACTGCGGAAGCTGCTACTCGTGCTCTTGAACTTGAACGAATATGATGGTGGAACAGGAGTTTGCGCATGCTCTGAGGGACGTATTGTTCGCCAGGCGCACGAGTCTGGTGTTTCCAACCAGCTGGATCCGGATGGTCGTTTGCTTTCCTGGTGAGCATACAGGGTTGAAACAACGGGTGGTGGGTTCCATTGAGGCGGGTATGGTGCTTGGCGATATTGCTCAAGATATCCGGGCAACGATGATGGTTCCAGTGCGATTGACGGTCGCTTTGTGGGCTGTTGATCCAGTAATACCGGAATCGGTAGATTCTCAAGTGGCGACTGGGGATCTTTGTATACCGGGTATTGCTCCACGACTACTTCGGGCAAGGTACTGAACCTACTTAGATCTTGCGGTGAATCGAATGATCCAGGACTCCATGGTTCGGCGGGTGCTCCAACGCTTCTCGAATGAGGCCGTAGGGATTGTGCGGAGCGTTGATGAATGAGAGGCAGAGGCGCGACTTGCTGGGTAATTACTGGAGCCATGCTCACTGGCCGCTGATCGGCGAAAGAAGAGACGCTTCTCGAATGAAGTCGCAAAGATTGCGCGGATCGCTGCTGATGTAGCAATGGTGACAACCCTTGGGTGCTAGGCGGCATCATGCTTGCAGGGCGACCATGCTGGCTTACTGCACTTTGCGATCTTTTCCGAATTCCTTCCACTTCCAAATGTTGCATCCTGTGCGCAAGCAGCTCATCCTGTCTCAATTGCTCCTCGGTTGTTGTAGTTGGTGGAGCTGGCGGTAAGGGTGCTGGTAGCTCTGCGATAGTTGGCACCGGTGCATCTTCGCTATAGTGTGGTTGTATATAGGATCCTGGGGCAGGTGCATACTCCCCGTAGTACGAGTGGTTAGGCGATGAGGCCGGCGAATAACGGTTTTGTGGGTACCCTGGCTGTTGTGGAGGCGACTGCTGGCGGCGATGAGTCTGCCAGCCCTGCCATTGAGGAGTGGGAGTCAGCGACGACATGGTGTTTACCACTGGTACGACGTCTTAAAGAACGCGATGACAGTCGAGATTCTTGGAGCGTAGGGACTCGTCTTCAAGTATTGGTAGATCAGCAAGATTTCGCCCCCATCCAAAACATGTCAACCCCCTCGCGATTCTCAAGGCGAAAGGCGCCCAAGATGAACGATGAACACAAGCGACAGACTCAAAGACACTGACGGACAAAAGTAACAAATGGGTTAGATATTAGTAGAAAGCAAGGCCTATGCGAGGTTTGTGGGGTCTGCGTAAGGGCAGACGAGTGAGGGATCAACAGGATCTTGGTGCCTGTGTAGCCGCGGGAGGCTGGACGCCTGAAACATCGCCTCAGGCCGCCCTGCTGAGAGCAGCCGGCTATCTTCCAAAACGGCTCTTGTCGACCACAACGACAGAGCGATGCAACACAAACTTATATGAAATCGATGGCTCCTCACAAAGCATATGCCGATGTACAAGAGTGGGTATGCATGGGTTGTGATTGTCTTAGGAAGGTGGGATAGATGGGGGAAGATCCGCGAGCGCCAATGATAAGAAGAGGGTTATCACCATCACCCTCCTCAACAATCGTTGATTCCAGCCACATCGAACATTGACATAGTTGTTCGCCTACTTGCATCATGACTTTAAAGCATCGATTGGGTGTGATTGATCAGAAAGTGCGCCTGCATGGAGACGACGAAAAGCACGAACAGACGGATGCATGGAGTAATCGCGATCTGATCCCACTCCCGCCAGAGCGGAGGACATGGGGTTGGTTCAACTTCTTCGGGTTTTGGGCAATTGCGTCGCTGAACCTCGCAAATTGGCAGACCCCAAGCACATTCTTGGGTAAGCTACAACGAAGGGCGAATGTTGATATTTGATAGCTGATCGTCACTGAAGCTATGGGTTTATCAGTCCCACAGGCTATCCTTATCATCGTTGTAAGCAGCATATTGATCGCCTTGTTCTCTACAACCATCGCTTGGGTTGGATTGAAGTGGCACATTGGCTTCACAGTACAGAACAGGTATAGTTGGGGTATGCGAGGAAGCTTCATACCTTTGCTACAAAGAATCCTACTCAACTTCATTTGGAATGCGGTCCAATGTAAGCAAGGCTCTTTATGGATGATATAGCACTACGAAACTGATCCAGGTTAGGTTGGAATGGCGGCCGTTTAGTTGCTGTATGCCTTACTGCGATCTGGCCATCGTACGCACGCATGCCGAACACTTTCAGCCCTAGTTTCCCTGCCACGACGGACCAATTCGTAGGCTTTGTCGTGTTCTGGTTCTTATCCACCCCATTCCTGTGGCTGCGGCCAGAGAAGTTCAAGATTCCATTCCTCGTAGTCTGCATATGGTGCGGCGTCGGCATGTTGGCATGGATGATCTGGGCAGTGGTAACTGCGAAAGGCGTAGGCCCTCTCTGGAACGCTGGCCAAACCATCCCTTCAGGCTCCCCTTGGGGTACTTCATGGCTCATCATGGCTGGCATAAACCAAACCATTGGCGGACTTGCTGCAGGTATCACCAATGGCAGCGACTTCTCACGCTATGCACGTTCAAGGAGGCACTATATCCATGGTACCATAGCTAGCTGTGTGATCACAAACGTCGTTGTCTCATTGGTTGGACTGGTCACCACTGCTTCGGGACAAAAGATTTATGGCGAGATCTACTGGAACCCACCAGATCTACTTATGCGCATGATGGACAATGGGAACGGCTCATCGCGGTCCCGTGCGGGTGTATTCTTTCTGGCTGCAGGTTTTGCCTTCACTGCAATGTTCGAAAACATATGCGGTAACGCTGTCTCTGGTGGAATTGACCTTGCTGGTCTCTTTCCGCGTTACATCAACATACGTCGCGGTGCCATTATCACGTTTGTGGCTGCATGGATCGTCCAGCCATGGCAACTCATCAATCGTGCCACCACTTTCATCGCTGTCTTGTCGTCCTTCTCTGTATTTTTGGCGCCCATAATTGGTATCATGTCATGCGATTACTTTCTCTTGCGAAAGAGAAGGGTTCGCCTGAGTCATCTATACCGAACAGAGGACTCGTCGTACTACTTCACCAAAGGCTTTAATTGGCGGGCGATACCGTCTTGGCTTTGTGGTTGGGCACCAACTATTGGAGGCCTCGTCGTGACCGTCAGAGGAGATGTTGATCCCCCGCGGTCCTTAGTGCAACTCTACAATATGGCCTTCTTGATAGGTAAGTAAGGTATTACAGGCTGTAGAGGTTACACTATCGCTTACATCCAATCAGGCTTCTTTATCAGCGCCGTTGTCTTCTACATACTCAACCTGATCTTTCCCGTCCCTGATATGGACCAGATCGATCCCACCGATCTATACGGTACCTTCACGGAGAGGGAGGCCAGGCGAGCTGGTGTAGCTCCACTAGACGATGCGCCAATGCAGGTGGCAACACATAGACGGCGATCGACCGAACATGTTGTGATTTATGGAGAGAAGGGTGTGTAAGTTCGAGTAGCGTGCTGGTAAATTACTACGTAAGGAGAGTTACGCGCCGACATAGAAAGCAAACTCGGCTATAGAGCCATAGGGCTGAAAAGGTCAAATTAGAATATTATGCAATAGTGATGCATGGGAAGCTCTGCACCGACTGCTTAGCGAGCTTCATAGTATCTATACCATCGCTAGACACTAAAACCTGATTGTTGTCACGCAACAAGCACATAAATCACAATACTGAAACATTTGAGGTGTACTTTCAGAGTCTCAGAGAGAAAATTTTGTCCTTATTCCGTACTACTACACTCATTTCACAACTGGAATCATCTTCAACGGAGCAAGTCGAATCTGCTTAATTGATGTCCGAGGCCTTCACAACCGTTCCAAACATGTCATCAATCTCTGTCAAAGCAACCTTCTTCACCTGCCCGGCGGGGATGTCCTTCATATCGCGCTGTCCAACACCATCTTCAACAACAAGGGTCTCGTAACCTAATGTAGTCGCTTCACGAGCGGTACTTGATACACAACCATGTGCCATGTATCCCGTGAGAACAAGTTTCCGGAGTCCAGTCTTCTTGACAATCTCTGCTAGATTCGTCTCCGAAAATGATCCAGCATGTTTCTTCCATACGATGGCCTCGCCTTTGATGGCTTCAACATCATCCATCTCTTTGGTAAGTTTGCCATTGGACTTGAAAATGGGTGCTTCATCGGAGCCAGTGTCGTGTAGGACATGTACGACGTGGCCGTTTTGCTCCCGGTATTTCTCCAGAAGGCTGGAGATTGCGATGTTGACCTCTTTGTAATCTTGAGCTGGGAGACTACCGTAGATGTACTCGTCCTGAGCGTCGATGATGACAAGGACGGAGTCTTTGACCGATGCTGTCGAATTGGGGATTCCAATGACTTGGCGAAGCGAAGGGGTTGGCATCTTGGATGGCTCGTTTGGAAAAATTGAAAAGTTGAGAAGTAATTGGTATGTATAAAGATGATCAATGTTCAAGTAGTTAGATTAAGTGTTAAGAGTTGAGTGCGTGTTTGTGAGTGTGCTGGATATCTGTTCCTTGCAGACACCCAGACCTTTATACCATGAGAATGGTAGCCCTTGCAGTCTTCTCTAACATTCGTCCGTCGCCTACCAAGACCGAGATCTTGATCTGATGTGGTAATCCAGCGAGTATGTTTCCCGAACTGATCAATCGGACCGTACTAGTAGGTAAGCTAGTCGAGAAATAATGCTACCCAATGTGGTTAGTCCATCCCGAGGTCTGCTACCGCCCAGATTATCGAACAGAGCCTCTCAGTGAGGCGGACAGTTCGTAACAGATTCTGCCTAGAGTACCCCACGCAAAGACTCTGGAAGATTTCCGATACGAGAGACTTGTACGGAACCTTTCTGTATCTGGCATTGCTGACAAAGGGAATGTATCGCCTACTTCTGCTGGACGAATCCATGGGCACGGGAGCTTCTAGTCATTCGCACTAAGCCCCTAGTGGGGTAGTCAGAGTTCCGTCAGCCATGCATTATCTTCTTCTCCTTATCCTTCTTCCTCATCCACAACAGATCGCATCAAGTCAACTCTCATGACCCAGATTCCATGAAGTCCTCGCGGATGTCTTTTCAAGCGTAGAGAGTCAGATTCAGCTTGGTAGGCGCATTCCGCAGAGCTCAATCCCCATTGGAAAAGATATTACAGTCCGTATCAGAATACCTGTCTTTTTTCTTTCTTTTTTGCTTTTGTGCATGGTCGGATCGACTTCGTCTATGTATTGTGGCCTCAATGGTAAGATGTCGATATGCAATACCTGTGCTTGTCATTTGGGTAAGTGCGAAGCAGGTCTGGCCCGTACCACGACACGACCACTGGAAAGTCATTAGTGCATCAGCGTTAGTGCAAGTAGGCGATGTAATGCCTCTGATTCTATGGGTTAATTCGCTTCTCAGAGAGTCGGAGGATACGCCAGGGCAGAGGCATGAGTTATACGCATGATACTACCTTTGTGGGTATAATGGTAAGTAGGATACCCATTTACGTCGATGGTGTACGTACACTCAGCTGTATTTCCTTTTGTTCCGGACCGATTGCAAAGGCCAATCTAGATGTCGACTTTCTGGTAGCGCCGCATGGTGTGGAATTTAGCTCTGGAAGCTATACATACGTCATCGATCCGGTAATGCCGAGCATCAACCATATCCAAACCTGAGGCCCTCTTTACAAAACCCTTGCTATTACCATATCTACCACTATCAACAAACATCGCAAGGTACAGGCACGATGGCACCAGGCGAAAACCTTCCCGATTTTCTCACAAACACGGAACTCGATCCCAGCTTCGACAAAGACATCCTCGACACGCATCTGATCTACGACTATGACGCGCAAGATAGCAATGGTAACCCCGAAAAATGGCGATACGAACTATGGTGTTTCTCTTCTGACCGTGTCGTCTATGCCATTCATGGTGGTCCGATGGCCGGTCGCGTGAACTACCAACGCGCAACATACCAATGCATACGCCCTGGCGAACTATGGCAGATAAACTGGCTCGAAGAGACAGGTACTATCGTCTCTGCGGTTTACGACATTAAAGAGAAAAAGATGACGACGATGATTGCATTTTCGGAAGGTCACTGGAAGAGAGCAAAGGAGGCACTGGGCGACAAGAGGAAGAAAGAGGACCTGGATAGATGGAGGGGTCTGGCCGGTGTGGGAAACCAGACTTCGAGGTTTATGCTGAGCGAACAGGCGCAAGTCGTGGAGATGTTCAAGGGAAAGGGTGAACTGGTCCCGATCAAAGAGAGTGATCCCCTGTTTTGAGTAGTATATCTTCCATGATGTCACGTCAGTAAATATAGCGGTACCGTTTGTCTTGCGTGGTGCTTCGTCTCCTTTCTTGAAGGGAATATAGAATAGCTCTGTTCTGATGCTGTCCCACGTTTACAATCGAAGTATGACGTATTCGTGGGGATCTCAGTTTTTCGGGACCATAGTACCGGTAGTCAAGTCAAAGCGACGTACCTTACATTGCAGCTTGACAGTGCGACCATCGATACGATGCTGTGGAGCACCAGTCAGTATCACAACGCAATTCAACCTTCCATTTACTCAGGAGCTGCGTTTCCTTCGAAGTTGGTATTTCGTGTGGGTTAGCAGCTCTTGATGATGTATGGTGGTAAATCGCAAGGACTTCTTCGTAAGTCCTTCCTTGAGCACTGCTAGTCTGATAGAGAACACACGTTGCACTAAGGCAACGAGAGGCGCAGGAATCAAGAGGGAATGTCTCAGCATTACTTGGCTTCAATAGGCCAGTGAACCATCTGGGTCCCAGTGAAGTCATAAGGTGCGTCCGGAGCAGCGATAGCAAACCAATCTCATTCTTTAGTGGAACATGTGCTTGCTTTTACCAGCGCAGTGGTTCTTCGTTCTCGTGGCGGACTCGATGCTTATGATGATCGTGGTTTCCTAACAGGTTTCTGCGAGAGCCGACGATCTCTTCCATAGGGCCACAATTGAGCATTCGACGTATCCCCCCCACGCATGTCGCAAACAAGGCGAAGACTCTTCGGGGGGCCGTCTGAGCTGGGTCCGAATGGCGACTCTGGCACTTGGGGGTATTTTTGTTTATTCTTTCGATATATGCCCGCGTACTTGCCAAGCTACGCGATAGAACATAATCTCTCGCAATAACGCTAGGTGTGCGACATGTAGCCGTACGTGAAAGGACAAAAGGATGAGAATATGGTTTTGTTCCTCCCGTACGGCGAGCTGAAGGGGGCTGCAGCACCAGATAACGGTTGTGGGGTAGAAGCCTGTCAGCAGCCACGTTCCATGGCGACGCTCCCTGTCCAGCGCGCTTTACAGCATTCCTTCACCGCGAAACCATCTGACCCTGTGTGAGAAGTAGGTGAGGTTCGTATCGAACGTTTCAAATGCTTCGCGAAGGTGCTGGAGATCCAGGGGTCGTGGAGGCAGCGCAAGCCACAACTGTTAGTGGGGGTTCGTAAGTGGTGTGCGGGCTGGTTAGACAGAGAACAGACCGCATGTTCGGAGTCCGATGCCTGCTAAGCGCCCGCAGTCTGCTACTGTAAGGACGGTGAGAGTCGTCATTGCGAAGCCGCAAGCGGCATGGTCTGGTCTTACGCTGAGGCAGACATGCACGAGGCAGAATAGGCGAAAGACGAAATGGTAATTTCCACTCAGGCCACGAAGGATGAAGCGAAACGGCAGCGTGTCGGCATCTTGACGCTATCACGCGGGCGGCATAACAGGTTCTCGGGACGGCCGAGGGCATGCAACTAGGCGTGCTGCAAGACTGCTCGCAGTGGAATGGCCAACATGTAGAACCACTGTTCCGATGCTGTGCCGGGGCCCTGCACATGGAGTTCCAATCTCGCATTACCCCATGCGGCTTAGACTAGCGCAGCTGCAGCTGCAGCTCTATCCCATGCCACCGCAACTTGGCCCCCAGCACGCCATGTGCCACAACAGCAGAAGGTCGGTATGACAGGGTGCGGCGGGCACGACGGGGATCCAGCGCGACCCTACTCGTCCACCTACTCCCATGGTGCTTCATCAGCTGCTGCCAGCCTGGCCACGATGACTATGCTCTCCAGCCCGTCGTCCCTCATTCCACCTGTGCCTGTATATTCCTTTTGTTCCTGCGCGACACCAGGCTGAATCACAACCCCGTTTCATTTCGACTTGCTTTTTACTCCTCGTTCTGGAACACATCGCCTTCACATCTTCGCAAACATCGTCTCAGTCAACACACATAGCCCAACCATGGGTCATCCAGCACTCACGTCACGGGAGCACCTGGAGCTTTTGAGGAGCTCTGCTTTCGAATCCGAGCACGCCTGGCTCTACGACAACTCCTATTTGCAACACGAGGCAGCGGCGTTGGCGCTGGAACAAGAGATTGAGCAGTCACATGCCAGCATATCGCCCGACGACAACTCTGACGAGCAAGTCCGCATACTCAAGACGCAGATCAACATCCACAGAGAGAGACAGAGGGCCCTGAGGCCACACCTTGAAAGTGGGAGCGATCAGATTGACGAAGAGGGCAATGAGTGTGTCTTTGTACCAGCACCGAATCAATGGGGAGCCAATGGAGACTTGGACGAGGAGAGTGAGAGCCTATCCGCAGTGAGTAGCAAGCTCGCTCCCACGTCACTGTTGAGCCAAGCTGACACGGTTTAGATCCATAACCTCCTCACCTGGCAAACTTCCTACTCGCCTGTGTCACATGCTCCACATGACGAACTCCCTTCTCCTGACATCCCGTACCACTCGTTACTCGATCCTACACAGCCTACAACGACGTACAATCTTCACCGCACACGAGAATGGACCGGGTCTTCAGGCTTCCGGAAGTATATCTACAGCGCACGCGACTACTCGAACAAATACGCTTTGTATATGCTTGAAGCCACCCATCGCGACGACAGTCAAGTCAACGCTGCCGACTTCTTCCGCGTCGCTGAATTCCCACAACCGTGCATATCTATCCTTCTCTCTGGCATCGACAAGAAGCGTATGGCAACTAAAGATGCTGCCTACAAATCGCGAAGCATACACCTGAAGGGCCCCTTCTCGCAACCGATTTCTGAATATCCAGATAGACAGCACAAGATTCCGTGGTCGCCACGACGCTTTAAATACGGCGGACGACGGTTCGTGTGGAAACAGGGTGATCCAAACGATGATGCAATGCCGGAGACATTGTACGAATACCAGCAAGATTGGATGAAACCTGGAAGCAGGACGGGCAAGCGATGCGACGACGCGAAGCCAATCAAACTAGTATGGGGCGAGAAGAGAAGGAAGGGCAAAGTGGACAGTTATACGATCCATTTCAGAGGTGGCATGGACCAAGTATTCAGGGAGATTCTGCTTGCAAGCCAGATGGCGCGGCAGGTATGCCTCTTTACTGCAATGGACTAAGGCGCCGTGGCACGTTGGAAGGAGGTGAAATTGTACTTGTATAACCACACAGCGAGAGGCGTTAAATGGGGCCGTATGACACGGTATGGATACCATAGAGCAGCGTTTTGGCACTTGACTCACATTGAAGCATCTTGTTACTACTATTTACAGTATCTTGGAAGTGGACATCAGGCTTCTCTACTACCTAGGACATATTCGGAGCTCAAGGGCAACGTTGATCAATTCAAAACTCTGATACTACTACGATATTGCAATGCGTCCTCTGCTCCTCGCGCTGCAACTGCCTGGTCAAGATGCGATTATGAGTGATAGGTAACAGTTGTTGCATGCCTTACATCTGACTCATCCTAATAACTCCGTTGGAGCCAACAGAGGGAACTTCCGCAGCGGCGTCGCATGGTTGCATGTAAGCCGCATATGTATGCTACGTTGTAGATTGGGCCACGGCCTTGCTGACGTACGCCGTTACGGCACGCTGGGCCGGTCGAAGTTATTGGCGGATTCTGACCAGGCAAGGATCGCATTGGTAGCTTTGGAGCATTTCAGAATATCCAGGGGCATGGGTCTTGGATTGCATTGTTGGTGAATGGTGTGTTGTCTTTGCGACATGAGTTGAAGTGGGGAGCGTGATGCAGACGACTACCCAGGTAGCTTGATACTCTCAGCATACAAGGCAGCTCCACACCCTGTGAAGAAGAAAAGCCAAGAAAGACGGCGGTACCAGGCTTGGGCGAAAAACAAAAGGCTCTCTGTCATGATCATTGCTTGTGAGCAACATGGAGGTGCAAGTGTTGCAGGCCAGCATCACGATGACTTCATCGCAGGCCCTCCTACCATCCAGACTATCACCGATCGCGCACGCTTTTTCGCACGCATCTTCCACGGTGGGCAGTATTGCACATACCCGAGACATCTGATCCCAGTTTATCTGTCCCGTATCAAACATCGTCTACTTGGCAATCAAACGCCCCCAAGCTAGAGTCTTACGCGCGTCTTTGGCTGACGCCCATTGTTCTGCAACAGAACCGACAGCCTGTTAGCTCATCTTCTCCACACGGAACAGCCGCCCGGTACCCAAAACGTCGTCTCCGCGCATCGAATCACACACTTGAGCGTGTGAAAGTGCAGGTAGACCTACCGACCAGCACGCAACAGTACCACGTGCATCGCTTACTGCGACAACTCCCAACGCTTCCATATCCGCTTCACCGTCTCTCAAGGTTTCTCCCAGAGAAAGACCCACCAGTCATGTCTTCAACGCGCAACACTGCACTGCGGGAGACAACCCACTCCTTCTGCCGCGCGTTGATATCGCCGCCGCCTCCTCCCTCAGACCTCCTATTGCAGTACTTCAGCAATGCGCCCAAGATCACGGAGCACGGCCCTGAGTGGTCACGTTCGCGGCTACCTTTCTTAGCTAAGACCTTTTCTGGTAGAGATGGATGCGAGGAGTATTTCAAGGTGATGACTGATGTACTGGACATGTCTTTGCCCGAGGATGCATTCCCGGGAAAGGAGGGGTTCATTGTGGATGCAGAGGCGGGGATGGGAAGGGGGGGTGGTAAAGGACGATTTACAAGGAGGAAAACGGGCAAGGGATGGAACGAACAATTCATCTATAGGTTTAGTGGGTTTGATGAGCAGGGCAAGATAGGGCATTGGGAGGTCTGGGCGGATCCATTGAGTGCCTGGAACGCTGTTGGAGAGTAAACTCCATTTCTTGACGGAGATATCAGATTATACTGAATTCCGTGCAGGGTTTTTCCACGCTTGACGTTGCGAACACATCAGTCAGCGCGAAGAGACTGATATGTGAGATTCACAGACGACATGTTGCACATACGTGCTAGTGATTTTAGTGAATGAAAGACGTTAGCGCGTCCTGGATGTGGGTCCTGTCGGTGGTTTCTGCACCTTCCGAAACCCTTCAACTTTTCTTCCTCGCGCTTTTGCACCTTGACACCAACTCTCCAACACCATGGCGCAAGCTCTGTAAAGCTCAACAGGGCGACCACCCTCTTCGCCAACATCTCCCCTATCTTAGACGACTAACATGTAGCTCCTATCTACAGTATTATGTTTCAGAAGGTACGTTTAACGGTTTCTTCTTATCACAGCACTCGCATAATTGCGACGTCGACACAAAGCTCAAAGATGATATACATCGACCATTAAATACTTTAGGAAGAGCCGGAAAAGGTATGGCTAGCATCGACATATGCTACGCCGTCGCTGCTTATAACTCGGTCTCTGAAGAGCATCATCATTCCTACATCATAGAATTCAGTTGTAGAACCGCTGCTGACGATGTAATGAACAGGCTACGAAATCACCTCGCGACTGCTGAAACGAACCAGGCGTCGCTGTATGACGCACAAACCAACGCGATCTTTACTCGATGATCCATGATGGAGCCGGTTGGCAAGCAAAGGCTTGACAGGATCACATTGCAGTAGCATGAGCATGCTTAGTAGCAGTTGCATGACGCATATATCATAGAATGAATGCGCTCGTATATATGTGGATACTATGGATACTATATTCGCAGGCTACTCGACATGCTACTGCTGTCGAGCAACGCAGCAGCATCCAGCTCAAGTGTTGACACTGGTAACTCCGCCCTCTCATAGAGTTCCGACATTGCTGGCCTACCCACGAAGGCATCGGCCGGCCAGGAAATAGACTGGTCGAACGCATAGTTGTCGCTCCAAGACGCTAGGAGATTGCTCATGTTGAAGTTGAAATCGTGATGGATCGCAGACGAGTGCTCCTCGGGCACGCTGAAGTCGTTCATGTTGAGTGGACTTGAGTCTGCTCCCATATTAACTAGATCACTGAAGTCGAATGTATCCCAATCTCGCAATTGGTTCCCTTCATCTGCACTCGTTGGTGAAGCAGATATTGTGCCGGGGCTGTTGCGCTGGGCCGCAATATTCTTTGCGTATTCCTTTGGCGTCAAGCCTGTCTTGTCTTTGAAGATCTTGTGGAAGTACCGAGGCGTGAGGTTGACCTTCTTAGCTAAGTCTTGCAGTCTCAGTGAGCTGGGGTCCTCCTTCTTCAAGGCTTCGTCAATCAATACACATGCTTTCTCTACCGCTCGCTCCTGTGGATCTTCAAGTACGGTATTTGGCTTGCATCTCTTGCAGGCTCTGAACCCAGCTGCCTCAGCTTCAAACGGAGTCGCATAGAATCCAACATTTGCCCGACGCGCTAATCGTCCTGGACACGTTGGCCGGCAGTAGATCCGTGTGGATTTGACAGAGTAGATGAAATGGCCGTTTGCGTCAGCATCTCTTACTGTGAGGGCTCGCCACCGTGCAGCGTCAGTTGCGTAGGCCATGGTACAGACTCAGTATAGGTTAACTACGAAATTAGCATGAGTCCAAGTGTTTGCGCAGTTGTGTTCAGGGCATACTTCTGCCGAGTAAACAATCTTGGGATGTTTCTGAGCGAAGAATCGTGAAATGGTGCTGATCTAACTGCAACACTACCGACTCCGGGTACTTCCTGGCTGTAATGATGAATGCAATTCTGAGGTTGACAAAATGATCGATTAGACATGTATAGTGAACTTGACCGCGGCAACGGGCCATCTTAAGAGTCGAAGTGTTCCTAGGCCCCAACGTGATGCACGCTGTGATTGGTCAATTTGAAAGCCATCTTGAGAGCTATGACGCAGGCTGACCTTATGAATCACGAACGCGTTAGTATCATATATCGACATGCGACCCACGAGATAACGCCCACGGAAAATGTAACATTCATGAGTAGCACCATGGCGCGCGCAAGGTACGAGGCACGTCGCTCTTTCCGCCTCGAGCCCAGCTTGTGGAAGAGGTAGGCACGATGAAGACACTCACCGGGGTCTCTCCTAAACCACAAGTCTCACTCAGTTTTAATTACATTGCACAAATGAGACCTTCGCACCATCATCCTCACAACTAACGGTATGTCGGAGGGCCCTGAAATCGTTGCTGTACCCGGCATCGCGGCGCTTTCATCAATAGCAGCGAGACAGATTAGTGCCGGGCAGGTCCTTGTTGACCCCAGTTCTGTCGTCAAAGAGCTCATTGATAATGCTCTGGATGCGCGGGCAAAGAGCATCTTTGTGGACATTACTGCCAACACAATCGACTCTATCCAAGTCAAGGATGACGGCCATGGCATACCAGCTCAAGACCGCCTTCTTGCATGCCGGCGCTCCTGCACCAGCAAGATTAGAGACTTTCGCGATCTGAAAGGCGTCGGAGGTAAATGGCTTGGCTTTCGTGGCGAGGCACTCTCAAGCATGGCTGAGATGAGCAGCTCGCTGTGCATCACCACTCGGGTAGAGGGTGAGCCGGTCGCTGTGAAGCTCAAATACGGTCGTGACGGTGAGCTTGCTTCGTAAGATGCCAATTGGTGCTTGCGCAAGAAAATGTCAGTACTAAACCATACAGTGTGGAACATGACTCTCACCCTATTGGCACGACGGTCAAAGTTACCAAAATCCTTGACTTCATACCTGTTCGAAAGCAAACAGCGAGCAAGAATTCAGCGAACTTACTAGCGAAGATCCGGCGACTCATGCAGGCCTATGCGCTTGCCAGACCAACCACACGATTCAGACTCCGCGTGTTGAAAGCGAAGAACAACAACGGTGACTTGGTTTATGCCCCGAGGGCCGATGCGAATGTTGAAGACGCAACTCTGAAAGTGATTGGCAAGGATTGCGCTCTACAGTGCGACTGGACTGTTCTGGAAGCAGATGGCTTCGAAGTTCACGCTTTCTTACCCAGGCCAGGTGCGACTGGACCGAAGATCGCTCATCAAGGAGCCTTCATCTCGATCGACGCGAGACCTGTATCGAGCAGTCGCGGTACCATGAAGCATATCGTTGCAGCTTGCAAAGACCGACTTCGCAAGTCAAACCCTTCACTCGCCGGTATCAAAGATCCATTCTTCTGCTTGAATATCATTTGTCCGCCTGACAGCTACGATCCCAACATCGAGCCCGC